TGTCAAATTTAAAGAACTCAAAATAAGTGCATGTTGGTTCTGTGTATTATATACATATCTTCAATTTAAATCTAGCAGGGTACAATTTTTGACACTTACTGTCCAAAAATGTTCTACAGACAAATAAAGGAATAAATATTTCCAAAAACCTCTGATGATGTAGGTATATTTGGCAGTATCAATATTTTGGAGCAATCAAATACCGATTATAAGATGCGAAAACAACAACAAATTGTGTAAATAAACTTAATTTCGAATAAATAATTGTGATATTCTAATTATAACTAATACTTAAATATTAAATAATTTTATTATTTCTCATACTCGTATTACATAAAATAATGTAATAATAAAATATTACATTAGATGTATAAATTTGAAAATATCGTGCTTAGATAGAAAAGTAATTATAATTTTGAGAAAGATGCAATAATTATTGGATCTAAAAGTGATCAGTGTTCTATCGTGTATGTAATATATGTGTGTGATCTTACGAAGTTGTAATTTATTCGAATTAAAAAAAACTTGTAGATAAAAAGTGTAATTTATTTATTTGAAGCTTGGATAAACAACAATACGATTGACAGTTTGTTAGTTGAAATTGTAATAGTCCAAAAGTCAGTGTTGATTCTAGAAAATAGATTCCAGTGCAAATACAATTAGAAATATATCACATTTCGGAAGCAAAAAGCAGTTTATTCAAATTGATGTCACGAGCATTTGATGATAAGCAAAAAATAGATGCAGTCGTTTGGAATTATAAAATTTGATAGTTCTTATATAATTTGTAATGATTAAATTGTGTTATCAAATCTAATTATATATTATATGTATTTGTATGTGAATAAATAGTTTTTATAAGAACAATAAACATTTTTTATGTAATATTGCGAAAACACTATAAATTAAAATCAATGAGGAGGAAAATGAAAACAGTGTTGAAGTGTTAAAATTAAAAATATGCATATAATTTATATACAAAGTAACAATAACAATAACATCGAAAATATTATTAATTATATGTACTTATTAGTAATTAATTATATATACTTATTAATAATTATAGCAATAATTGTGTTAAATACCAAACATCCATGCGAAATTGTAATAATAACACATGAATTAATTCAATTTATTAATCAATTAATTTACGGCGTTGCTATATTTTTATTTTTAAAATCCTAATTATAATACAATAGCAACAACACTCAATTTTTATTATTTTTTAAATACCATTTAAAATGTGATTTAAGAATAAAACTGACTAATGCACTAAAGATTACCTTAAGGCATGTATTTCATAGCAGAGTTTGTCAACTCCCGACCCGACTCCCGACTCGTTAATATCATCGGTCCGTAATATTTTGTATTTACGCTTTTAATGATAACGTTCTTTGGGAAGGATATTGATACCAGTCCATGCAAAACGCATTGAATATTTTATGGATCACATAATATTATTTCGGTTCGCAGTTTTGGAATACATCGTTAGGAAAACATGTAGTAACCGATGCAGATTTAACTTTCACTGCTATATTTGGAGCCTAATTTCTGTATAGACTGATTTTAGAAAAAAAGGCTACAAAATCAACGAATTACAATTTTTTTGGACAATACATGATTGCTATACTCTCGGCCACAGTTCCAACTACAGTACCATTCGAAGCTATTGAAACAGTACAAAATTTAACTGTGAACTATATAACTGAGTACAATATACTTGATATAGGTTCCAGGGCTCCGAGTAATTCAAATAAAAAAATTGCTGCTGAACTAGCTAAACTAAAATTAGTAGTATTCTCAACAGAGAAACAAAAATTAATCGCATTAAAAAATGCATAGAGTTAAGAGTTTCTAAGAGTTACAAAACACAGGATGACTTGCCAAAAAACCAAACTAACAACTTACTAGGATAGACCAAAAATAAATTGTAAGAACGTATTTGGTATCACCGACGAAAAATACAAACATTGCAAGAGAAATTGGAAAAAAAATTTACATATGTTCTGGCCTAGAAAAATTCAAGCATACAAGTGTGAAAGCTTACAAATGGAGGACCCTAGCACAGATCCCTAATATTATTTTATTTATCGTATATGACAAGTTTTCGAAAGTTACTTTAAAAAGATCATTATTGTCAAATTACAACAATCAATTTTTTGTTTTTTAATTAATTGAATTTTTGGATGACCATATAGCTGTTTTGAGTAATAACAAATACTCATCTTCAGTACTTGAACTCTCTAAACTTCTAATAAATATTATGCAGAAATACGTCTTGTTGCATACATGTGCAATGGTGAAGGAAACGATCAACATTCTTTAGAAGGAGCAACACAATTTAATAGGTGTAAAACATGGACTACACTTCAACAGAGCATAAATTTCTTGATGCTTGTCATCCGGAATTATGTGAATCCCAGCAATAACACCCTCTGAAATGTAAAATTCAAATAATAATAATAATTATAATTATTATAATAACAATAATTATAATAATAATAATAATAATAATAATAATAATAATAATAATTATTATACTTCTTTTAATAATAATAATTATAGTAATAATTATAAATATTTAAAATATTTACATTACAGGTACATGTATATACTATGATTCACACTGGGCCCAATTCTCGAGCCGTAATTAATCGATATTATTTATACATTTATTTATTCTTCTCAGTTGTGTAAATTAAACAAATCAATTATCGTTAATTAAGAAAATCGTTTGCAATTTTAATATTAATTAGTTCATAAGAACTTGAATATCAGAATTAATTTTTAATTTCAATGAATTATACAATATATTATTTTAAATTATATAAACTATGCTTTGTCTAAAATAATAATAAAAATGTTAACAAACATTAAAAATGTTTAATTTTCAACTTAAATTACATGTCACAAACAGTTATATAGAAATATTGACGTAGAAATATTAAGATGTAATTAACATACATAGCTTAAATATTAACACTTAATTAATAATAATTATCGAAATATATAATTAATTTACTAAAAATTAATATAATAATTAATCTTTATTAAATAATTTATAAAATAATTAAAAAATGTATTATTGCATTATTGTTTAAATTATTTTGTATGTACAGTAATCCCCCATTATAACGCGGTACTTTTATAAAGCGTTTTCATATTACGCGATTTCAACCTCCCGTACACTACGGGGATTGCCCCATATAACGCAGGGTTTGTACAGTTCATAATTAGCTTCGCGTATCTTTGCACGTGGTATACCTTTGTGTATACGGGGTATACGGGAATACCCCTATAACGCGTTTTCCTATAACGCAGAACCAATCTACCGCGTTATAGTGGGGATTACTGTACTTAAATATGCGCGTAGCTATGAAGCTGGTAAAAAAGAGTGTATCACATTTGAATATTGAGAGTCTATTTCCTTTATTGAGAGTCTATAACTTTAAACCTGTCTAACTCGAAAAGTAAGCTTTATCGACATGTGGCTTGGACTTGTGATAATAGTTGACTCTTTTAAAAACTACTGTCAAATCGGCACGTCCAAGAAATTGGAGTAGCGCCCTTTATTCTACATACTAAAGCGCAGAAAATTTAATAATTTATTAAAAATTTTTTTTTTGAAACGTGATGAGTTGTTGTATTTATTCAATACTAAGGTAAATGTCAAAAGCTATAGCAGCAGCAGCAAAATATTCATATTAGAATTTTTTTATCTTTAGATAAATAATTTCTTAACTGCATACACTTGATAAGACATTCTAAATCTATTTTTACGTGATATAAAATTTTATATTTAAATAATAAAAAGGTTATAGTACACATTATGACAAAGAATATTTTTGAGGATTTAAAAACTTAAGAACTATTATTAAATACTATAACATATATTATTAAATTATATTATAATATGTTATTATATTAAATAAATATGCGCCTTCACAGAAAAGAGGTCTGCATTCTAACTAACAGTCAGGCAGCTATTAAAGCTTTATCAGCAGTCTGTCTGTCATCGAGATTAGTAGAAGAATGTAAGGAAATTATTAGTGAACTAAGTGAGATGTCCAAGGTTACTCTAGTGTGGGTTCCCGGGCATTCTAATATTGTGGGAAATGAGCGCGCCGACGAGCTTGCTAAGCTAGGCGCCTCTTCCACGGATACCCCTATTTCGATCCCTGCCCCTGTCAGCTACGGGCGTAGGCTGATTTGTGACCATTTTTTGCGACAGGCAAATAGTGAGTGGACCCTTACTGTCTCAGCAGCCAGGTCAAGGGCTACTTGGCCCATTTATTCCAAATATAGAACCTCTGACTTAATCTGTAGAAACAAATCTGAGGTTTCCAAGCTAGTATCTATCTTTACGGGTCACTGGTCCATAGGACGGCATGGAGCCCGACTTGGCCTTTCCTGTGGTACCTCATGTAGTGCGTGTCTACCAATACTTGAAGAAATGACACCAGAACACCTGATATGTTTTTGTCCAGGTCTGGCCAGAACTAGGTTTAAGTTTCTAAGGGCCCCTTTCTTCAACTCACTTAGCGACATCTCCAGCATAAGCATTAGCCAGATTCTTGCCTTTGTTAATGCCTCTAGTTGGTTCTAGTTTGACCCTCTATCTACTACCCACTATTACGAGGTTTTTGTGGACTCAAAACGGCTTTCATCCTTAGCTATTTGAGGAGGATTCGTCCTCCCTCCACCACAACTAACTAACTATGTTATTAAATTAAATTAAATATTATGTCATATATATAAATATGTATAGTAATATTATATTATATCATATAGATATAAAATAATTTGTTCTTATTATTTTGATTAAAAGCGTATTAAAATACTAATTAATTCATTTTAATGCTATCAATTATTTTCAATTTGAACTCAATTAAATTAATGAGTTTTCATATATTTTGTTATTTCTCATGCACATTTTTAAACAATTCTAGTCAATTAAATGAAAATTGTTTTATTAAAATGTTAATGTTCACAAGTAATTAAAAAGATTTATAACTTTATATAAAACGTAAGCTCATATAACTTTAATTACTATAAATATTTAAGCAACCATAAAATTGTTAGCGATAAATTTGACAAATAAAATCAGGAAATTAATATTTATATAAAACAGTACTTTTTACTAGTTTTATTTAAAATATTATAAAATATTTAAAATAAAAAATGCAATTAATTTACTATTCATATTAATTAAATATATTGTAATTATATTTAACTAAGTAATGAAAATATCATTTTTAAAGTATAAATAAACAAAACTGCATAATGTTTTTAAAGACAACATGCAAGAAAGTAATAAAAAAATTGATTAAAGTTTAATGAACTTAATTGCTTACTTAGAATTTATTTATGGATGTATATGGTTTTTAAGAATTACTTAGCAAGAATGATATTTTCTTAGAAAATTACAAAATGCAGTTGCAATGTAAAATATATAAACAATTTAATCTAACGATGCTCATGTGATTAGCACATATCTACTGGCACTCTAAGAAAAGAAACCGGAACATCTGTTGTGTCTATGTCTAGGCTTGTAGGACTGTCTAACATATGCCAGTGGGTATATGTTGGTACAACAAAAAACAAACTTAGGACGAGAATCGCTGGTTACAAACACGACATAAAAAGCAGATCAATTCCCAATGACTAAAAGACAGCATTAACAACCCATTGGTCTCTTATGAACCATACTCCAAATTTTGAAGATCATCAACAAAGATCCAAATTATAGACGTTGACTAATGCTAGAAATGTTACACATCATTGAAGTTCCGGATTATCAGAGATTAAGCTACAAAAAAGACAAGACGGTCTTGCACAAATTTGCAGGTCTCTGATCAACCAGAGACTGATTAATAAATGATCCTATATAATAAAATATATCCTCCATTGTTTGTTCATTCAAAAATTTTCTCTTTTTGATTTTAATTTCAAGTGTTATTGTTGTTGTTGTGACTTGAGTTAGTGCTATTCCGCACTTTTACTCTTTTGTGACTGGGGGGCTTATCTCTGCCACACACTAAACTTTAACTATACTAGAATCAATATCATTTATTTATCTTCTAACTGATGACGGACCGTAGATCAGCATATCTATCAACTTTTGTGAATAATTTTAGGGCTCTGTCCTTGAAATATTTTTTCACTGAGTCGTTTCTTAGTTCTCTATTCGTGTCTGTTGTTCTTATATACCAAGGATTCTTAATTAGTCTTCTTAAAGCCAGATTTTGTGCTATCTGTAATTGCTTTATGGCAGTTTTTGAGGTTTTGTTGTATGTTACACATCCGTACAGTAATGCTGGCCTAATTATTTAAGTATATAATAACTTTCTATTTTTGAGGTTGAGCGATTAAATGTTATTGTTTTTTAAATTTATGTGTTTGCTTTTGACTAAATAAATTTAAATGTTAAAAATGTCAAACATTGAAAGAGACAACAATGTTTGTTAATTTTTATTTTTTGTTTTGGATATATGTTTATATGTTTATTTACATGTATTTAAATATGTAATTTTTTTCTTTGTTTATTATCATTATATACTGAAGATGGTGTATGAAGTAGACCGAAATATTTGTAATATAAATAATTTGGTATAAAAATTAAAATATACCTAAATATTTAACATAGCTTAAAAACTGTAATTTTTTATTTTATTTAAAAACATTTTTATAAATTTATGTGTTAAATAAACCACCTAAGCCCAGTAACAAATATAAAAACTAAATGAATATTGGTCGTAATAACAATTTATTTAATATTTATATAACAAAATGAAAATTTGATTGTGTTATAGGCTAAATCTTTTCCTGAAAAAGTAAAAAGATATAAGTGATTTCAAATCAATAACAATGTCTTGGACCGATTAAATGGTCAAGTTCCTTCACCTCGGCCCTGGCTAGTTACAATCAAGACCTACCTACGCTTTCCAATCTCTCTTATCTCAAACTTCTTCGTATTGTATTTTCACTCAATCGCATCCTAACTTATGAATTCGTATTGTAATTTTCTTCGTGTGTCCTTATATACAGAACTCCACTGGTTACACTAACAACTACAGCGAGAGTAAGGTCAATAAAAACTTTAATTTAATTTTGATACTTAATGTATATATATAATTATAATTGTATTTTTTTAAGAACTCTTTGTTGTAAAACAAATTTTACTGTTCAGTTTGTACTTTACCCCTGGTACTTTTAATAATGGAGTACACTTAGCCTATATCGCTAGAGTATCTAAATAAATATGTAAGCATCTTGAAAAGTTTTTTGACACAAACTGTTTACTCATTTGAACATCTATTTAAATACATTTAAATATTATTATTAAAATAAAGAAAAAACTTAATATATAGAAATTATTTAAAATCCCGCTGTTCTTATCTTATCAACTTAATTCAAATAAATAAAGTATAAGATTAGTTCATAATGAGACAAATTTTATTGAGATGAAAGCAGTCGTGAATAATATATATGAACCTCAAGTTATCAATAGCTAATGTTAAAGCAATAACAATTAAAATAAATAATCAAACAGCAAATTTCTTTTTCTTTTGTATTTTGTTTAAATTTGATTTATAATTTTAAGTCGAAATGAGTAATGAAGAGAAAACAGTTACCGCCTTCCATCGTTATAACAAAATGTATCTTAAAAATGTTGTTGTTTGAAATGCAAAATACTATTATGGTAATTCGGCCAATTTTGTTAAAGCCAAGGTTATTGACTTAATTTTGAAGGTTAAACCATTAAAAATAACCAATTTTTTTTTAAAGTACCATTATTGGTTGGATGCATTTTTTTATCGAAGTGTGAAAAAAATTTAAAAATTTAAGCATTTTAACATAATTGATACAATTAAGCGATTCGTAATATTAAATCACATAATATTATTAATATATTTAAAATAAATTTGTTTAGTATTTTAAAGTGTATTGAGAATAATAGATTATATTTTAAAAAAATACAGTGAAACTTCCATAACTTCCATCGAATTTTCTATAACTCGAACTAAATATTTAGAGTGCAACAGAGTTTAGAGAGCAAATTAGATACAATAACAAAAAAATTCCTTAACTCGAAGTCTCCATAAGTTAAACCTTTTCTTTGCAAAATGGTATTTCGAATTATGAAAGTTTGACTGTATTATGTCTATATTATCAATTAAAGTTTACCTTCTAGTTAAAAAGATTTGAGATTTTGTCCTTTGCTTGATTTTTAATTTGATCCATTTCAGGTACTTGATAAACCTTCTAAATTATATTCCATTTAATGAATGAATATTGCATTTTATTTTAAATCCAAAGGTGCTTCATTAACTACACTTGTTCTTGAAAAATTCTCACTATTTGTTGTTCAAAAAGTTATCAGAAGTATTCAAAAATGAAGAGAATCTGAATGTGAACATCAATAGAGCCCGCAACAGAGTCAAGGAGACAATGACCTTTCTTTCTATAAGTGGCTAATCATGCTTTGTATTGGTTTTGAATTGTATATTATTTGAAACCCAAAGAGGATTTATCAGCTATCGATGTTCTTTAAAAATATGCACTTCTTTTGGACTAATAAAATTGGCCTTGGTACATGGCCAATGAAGAAAATCTGAATGTGACCATCAATAAAAACAGAACCATTGGTGTTGATTTCTTCTTCCATAAGATAAGGGGTAAGCATGTTTTATACGTTTTTTTGCTACAAAAAGAATGTATTTTAACTTATTCTTATATTCTTACGGACATCATTAAGTTATTAAAGCATGTGTTAAATGACTATATTGTCTCCGGAGACAAAGCTTTGGGTTTGACTCCTAATTTCTATGATTTATCGACGGCATAGTATTTTTTGTTAAAGTATTTCTAATAATAAATATATGCGGACAAGTCAAAAATGATTTCACTTAAGTAAACAATACTAATAGTGAGAGCAGACTAAAATAATAAAATGCGGAAAACTGTTTTTAAGATCTTTCTATAATGACCGACTGACTGTAATTATTTTTTGTCAATAAAGATATAAAATTATACATCAAATAAACAACTAAATGCCGTATTCACTTAAATGTATTTGTTTTCTTTTAATTTAAAATGATACACTTCTTAAAAAAAACATTCTACCCAAACTAATTCAAATTGTATTTGTGTTCTTTCAATTTGAAATATAGTATTCGTTTGGTACATAGGGTAATATATATATAATATATATAGTAATATATATTTAGTAATATATATAATATATAAATAGTAATATATATATAATAAAAATAGTAATACATATACAGTAATATATGTATATATATAAATTCACTTAATAGGAATCTTAATTTATACATTATAAGTAAAAACCAAAATTATTAACAATATTTTTTTTAGAAAAGTTCAGCTAATTGGACTATAATGACATCGTTACAGTTCCATTGGAACACTAAACCAAAAAGTGCTATCATGTATTATTTCATTTCTTATTAAAATTTTTCACTATTTCCATTTCAGAAAAAAACTGTACGTTTATAACAATAAATGATTAATAATTATATCAATTTTATTCTATAAATTTAGAGAACTGACATTAATGGCGTAAAAAATATATACGTATAATTTGCCATTAGTTTTTTTATAAAACTCAAGCCTCATTCAAAACTAGAATTACATTTTATCTACAGTTATTATCATTAAATATATCAGTTAAGCATGACAAATTACAATATATAAATTAAATAACATACATATATAGAAATATATATAGAGCGCAATATTATTGTACATGTTTATCAAAATTTCTACGACCATTCAATTAACTAAAAATATCTTATTTGCGTCAATACGCCTACGTATGCCCTTTTCGAATAAATCATAAAAAAGACAGTTAACTCACCCACATATGATGATGCCGAAACACTGTACTAAAGCTGGATAAAAGTTATTCATAGACACGGAAGGATCATGATTCGGTGGTTTTGTTGTGGTTTCCTCTGTAATTAATGAAATGAAAGTAGTCTCTTCCATGCCATCGTCAGACATAAAGTCGGCCTCCGTATTTGCATAGACCATAGCAGCATCCATTTTGTCAAAGTTATATTAACTTACTATAGTTAATTTAAATTTAAGCAAAAAAATGCTTTTATTTTGTATTAATTTTAATAAATTTTGTTACTTAGAGTTCATTATGTTTTTGTTTTTGCAGTTTAGAAATGTTGCTAAGCAGATTAAGAATTATCACATTTCAACTATATTCAATTTACAAACATTAAACAAATCATCTCTTTACAATAAACGCATGTTTTAATTAAAGATTATTTTTTATTTATATTAATATAAAATGGAAAGTTTATTTACAAACAAATAAGAAAAAATTTTTTGACCTTGTGCCAGACACAATAACACATATATTTCGTTAATTTTACACAACTCTAATTTATCACAATAACTGTAAAATACTTTATTATAATATTGCACTCATTTACTTTTATTATCATTTTACATATTTAACATTTTTGCTGCATTAAAAGCTTGCCTTATGCATAAGTAATAATCGACCGCTCGTACAAACTGATTGTTATAGAATGACAGTTTGGTTGTTGCATTTTTTTATAAATACCATATAGGGTTGCAACATAAAAAAATAGTAGTATAAAAAATTTTGTCGTATGAAATCAGTAAAGCAGAAAATTATTATAATTATACGCTATTTCCAATTTACGTAAATGTCACTTTTTTGGAATTCTCAGAGAATTATTAAATAAAACAAAATTTTAATAATTTGTACGTCATTTGATAATGAAAACATGATACATATATTAATTATATTTATTAATTTTAGACCATATATTTATCATGTACCTTATACTTGTATGTTTTTATAAATTTAACACATATAAATTTAATTTACAAAAAATGGCAACAAAAAAAACTAAATACATATACTTTCAAAATATACAAAAAACGAAAATAAAATGAAGCAGTTATTTTATTTTATGGTATGTTAAGTTTTATTATTATCAAAGCACATTTTTATACGAATTTTGTGTGTAAATATACCGTTACAGTTATTGTTAGACATTATAACTTAATGTCAAAAAGATGAAACAAAAATATCAAAAAGATAAATATAGGGTGAAATTATAGATCGCTAAATGTTACTGTAACACAAGTATAATATGAATACCAATAAATTTTTTGTAGAAATTTCATATATATTTCTTTATAGTTTTACGCACTTTACTCAAACTAAAGAATACATTTTATTTAAATTCATAAATTCATTTAAATTTATTGGCGAGTTATTAGAAATATAATTAAAGACATTATTTTAGATTTTTATTTAATACAAAATAATTTACTAGTAACAATGTTATACTGCGTTTACACTGCCACTTTTAACTAATTTTTGGCATATATATATATATAACGAAAAGAGTATAGAAATTACACTTACTATTTACTCGTACACTTCATGTATTATTGAAGAGCATTTAATTGAAACATGAAATATTATTTAATCTGTGACAAATACAAAAGAAAATAAATTTTCAAAATAAACCGAATTTAAAACAAACAAATTGTAAACATAAATGCAAAAGCGAATGATTTTATACGATTCAATTGTGGAAAATAAATATTATAAATATTTATAAATACATACAAACAAAAATACAATAATTTTTCGGAGTATGTGAAAAAAGTATAATTTAAAAGCGATTCAAAATTTTTAACATATTAGTTGTCAACAAGTTTATACCTATTAAGGTATAAATATTCTGAATTTTAAATTTTGTAATAAAAGGAAATTTCAAAATTTCCTGCATTCTGAATATTGAATTTAGTTCATTATTAATATTAATCTTAATTTTTCATTTTAGTTTTATTATTAATTTTAATACAAAATGTAATTTGTTTGCTTTACATGCACATACCTTAAGTTAATTTATATGAGCCTGCTATTAATTTCGCTGTAAGCTATGTACTAATCTACAAAAATGCGTTTATGCGTAATCGACTCAGTCAATCTCGCCTATTGAGTTTTCATCAGAAAGAATTAACTATGGCCGCGGTGTTCCGCTCCGTTGGGAACTGGTACCCTGTTAATTTCTATAGACAACACAAATATTACAATTTTTTACTAATTCTATATATTTATTATTTTATTTTTTTATGATGTACCAACATAACATGCATTAGCGTGACGCATGAATTCCCGTTGCCTTCAATTATTTAAGCTTATTTCACTTTTAGTAAGTGTTGGCAACTCAAAATGTATAGAAAATAAAACCAATAGTGGCTTTGGCACCACTTTTAACCAACAGAACAATTGTACAGTTTGAGTGCCATAGAAGCAGTATATGTCAAAACAATAGAAATTAGTCATCCAAAATTATTTTTCGTGAAAACGTAATAACAAAATAAATAGCTACAATTTTCGACACTAAAAATTTCATTTAATCAAAACTTAAAACGTATATAAAAATACATAAAAATGAATCGTCTATTTGGTAAAGGCAAGCAAAAGGAACCACCACCGAATCTCAATGACTGCATTGCTGGTGTAAGTAAAAATTTTTTTTATCGGAAAGCAAATATTTCATCTATTTTGCATATATAGGTGGATTCGAGAGCTAAATCTATTGAAGAAAAGATTGCAAAACTTGAAGCTGAGCTACGTAAGTATCGCGATCAAATGTCAAAGATGCGTGAGGGACCAGCAAAAAATTCAGTCAAACAAAAAGCTATGCGCGTATTAAAGCAGAAAAAAGCGTAAGTGAAAAATGAGAAATATATTTTTTGTATTCAATTATCAATAGATATTATTTAGTTATGAACAACAAGCTGAGTCTTTGCACAATCAATCATTTAATATGGAACAAGCCAATTATGCAGCACAATCTCTTAAGGACACACAAAATACCGTGGCTGCAATGAAAGATGCAAACAAAGTTATGCAGAAAGAGTTTAAGAAAATCAATATCGATCAAATTGAAGTATGTTCAAATTATAATTTTAATATTATTTGTAACTTTAAAAATAAAAATTATTATATGTGCTTATTTTAGGATATACATGATGATATGGCTGATATGTTAGAACAAGCTGACGATGTGCAGGAAGCATTGGGACGCACTTACGGTATGCCTGAAGTTGATGATGATGAGCTTGAAGCCGAATTAGATGCTTTAGGTGATGAGATTGCTTTAGACGATGACACTAGCTATTTAGATGATATGGTTAAAGCGCCGTCTGCACCAGATAAGGAACCTGGTGCAGATAGCATTGTGCCAGGAAAGGTGAATAATATTGATATGTATATAAAACGAATTTATCTAGAATTGTTATTCTTTTCATAGAATCAAATTGAAACTGATGAGTTTGGACTTCCTAAAATACCAACTTCTCTAAAAACCTCATAAATAATTTCAAAATTATTTGCTTATATATTGAATATAATATTTATAAAAATTTAAAAGTTTACACTCAGAAAAGCATTTTTCACTTAAATAAAATTGTTACTAACTCAATTATTGTTATTTATTATAATTTATTAGAGAGACTTCGAAAAGTGCTGAACTACAACAAAATTTGATTTTTATATTATTTTAATTATTTGAATTTTTGACTGACCATACAGCTGTTTCGAGTATTCCCAAATACCCATCATCAGTCATCTTGGAATTATTTATTATATTTACTTATTTGTTAATAATTTTTTAAATTACTTACAGTCCAAGAGTTAAACTCGATCCTGCCAAATTTGAAGTTCAAATTTAGTATTCATCGCTAACTGATCCAAAGCCGTACTTGACTTGTGTGTTCGCACTTTGGAGTTTTTTTAATTTGCTTTAATAGTTCATTAACAAATGCACTTGCTGTGTTTTCTTAGAACGAAATCATTAAACGGCTGTAGAATAATTAAATTAATTAATTACGTATGAATATAAACACATTCCTACATTTTACTCAGTTCACTGAGACTTAAATTCAACATTTAATAAAAGCTATTTTCTAAAATCTTGGCAAACTGTTGTCATGCTACTGCAACTATCAGACAAAAACAGCGTCTGTTAGTCCAAGAAATCAATGAGTTCGTGAACAGTTTTGTACGCAGCGAATCAACATTATTGTAGGATACGTTGGTCCATATCCAAATTTTTGATAGAAAGGGAATCAATGGCAATGAGAGAATCAATTTCGAATAAACTTACAAAATCAAGTTTACTTATTAAATTTTTTTGGAACGAAGCTTTATTGTGTTATGAGTTGATTTACAACCAAGTTTCTGTTAAAGTAGTGAATTGCAGTCGAGAGAAATTGCTATTGACACTTTGAGTAACTCTCAGGCTGTACAGCTGGTTCGGTCTTACAACTAAAGTAGGGCTTCCCTCCACAGTGCAGCAGTGCTGGAGTTGTTGACAGATGATATGATTGAAGACTATGTTGTAATATCAATTAGATAGGTTAAAATGTCGGCACTACTTGGAAGAAGATAATATCAATAAGATGGGTTAAAATGTCTTCACTACTTGGAAGAAGATAATCATCTAGTTAAATTTTTTTAAATTGTCCGCCTTAAACTGGATGAGGAGAAGAATACTATGCCGGAAGCTTCCATACTGGTTTAATGTTAGAATATTTTTAAACTTCTTTCGAAGAGCTGAGCGTCTTATGTTTATGTTGTAGTCCACTGGGACTTGTAAGTAGATAACATGATAGATGATATACAAGAGGGAGGGGGGATAAAGTTGGCTGGGATTTTATTAAACATTAACCTAAGTCCAGATGATGAAACCTGGTGTAAAGAAACCAATCTTATCATAATTGTGAGAAAATTGAAATTGTCATGGTTGTCATGAATAGTACTATTAATGTGAGAAAAATTTTCTGGATATCAACTTAGCTGCTACACGATCACGTTTTTGTTACCTTTTGCAACTCACTTAAACGTTGCAATGAAAGTTTTCATCACAACTTCCCAGCAAGTGTTTAACAAGTACAAATACTTGTCAAAAACATGCTCGTGTAGAGGCTACACGTTTGCGTTTTTTTTTATATTTATAAAGATTGTTTGAGCAGCAGTTATGATCACTCAAGATCTTATACAAAGATAATCACTACACTGAGAATAATATAACACAAACATTATATAAATATTGAAGTTATTAAGAGAGGAATATAGTGCACAGCTAATACTTATAGATTTTCTGATTTTTAAGTCATCTTGATAAATGGCCGTTTTCAAACTTACTCTAATAAATAAAAAATATATATTTTTTTTTTCTATATATAATTAAAAATTCTGTGTTAAAGTTATTATTTTCATTTTATTGATGATCATAATATAATAATACATAATACCAGACATATATTAATTTGATAGATCTACCAATAGTAACATTTATCATATATACCCTATAATCATAAAAAAGCGTAAAGTATATAAAACGTTAAAAAAAATATTTTGCATAAGTTTTTTTTAAATTAAAAGCAAATTTATCTTTTTATAAACTTAATAAATATTAACATATATGTTTTCAAACGTATATGTTATACGCATTTACATATACATTGTGACCGAAAAGCTTTCGGAAATTCTCATTTAAAATTCGCGCGCTGTATATTTTCCGATATTTTAAGTTTATGTAGTTTGGCAGCACTGTCCTTAATTACTATGCCAAAAATGAGCGCGATCTGTCAGACAGTTCGTTTACGGCAGCTGTTGAAACCAGTTCACCTCAGTAGGGCGTTGCGAAAAAAACAATGGAAAAAAATATTGAACAAAGAGTTTGCATCAAATTTTGTGTTTCGAACGAAATTTCGTGTGCAGAATCGTTGCGAATGCTACAAAAGGCTTATGGGGAATCAGTTTTATCGAAAACTCAAGTTTATGAGTGGTACAAAGCCTTCCAGGACGGTCGTACGACCGTCGAAGACATTTCGCAACGCACTACTGAGGTGAACTGGTTTCAACAGCTGCCGTAAACGAACTGTCTGACAGATCGAGCTCATTTTTGGCATAGTAATTAAGGACAGTGCTGCCAAACTACATAAACTTAAAATATCGAAAAATATACAGCGCGCGAATTTTAAATGAGAATTTCCGAAAACTTTTCAGTCTTAATGTATCAGTAAAACTTTATGCGAGGATTACATTTGCATAGCTTGTGCTAAATTATTTAAAATTATAATATGTTAAATGCTAGTGAAAAAAAAATAATTTAAAATTAGTTTTTAATTAAAATGAAATTTTACAACTAAAATTAGTAATGCTGTTGTTGTGATTAATTTAAACAAAGACACATAATTATTTATATATACTTATATATAATAATCGAAATTAATCAAATATACAAATAATTTATTTCTTATATATAAAATCACCAAAAGTATTAGTTATATGTGTCTATTAAAAAATATATATAAACAATTTTGATAATATTTTTAATGAATCACTTTTAAATAATTTTGATACATGCTAAATAAATTGATTAAAATTTTATTAATTATATTAAATTATTTACGTATCAACATACAAAAATACATATTTTATCAGTTCAATTCTACACTACATCTAATTATAAGATTTTATGGCCTGTAGTTATTTCAATGATATCAAGAAACTGATATTTTTTTAAAAAAATCATTTTTTAAAATCAATATATTATTATGTTAATATTATAATGTTATTAATGAATGGCAACTAAATTTAATTATAAATTTGTTTTCAATTTTTTTAAAATTAAACAATAGAATAAAATTTGTATTTGTAAAAAGTTTTGTAGTTAATTAATAATTCATATATCTTAATTAATAATCATATATCTATCTATATTCTATTCTCTTAGCCTGAGCTTGACTAAGTTTATATATTATTGTTTGTTCACAAAATTATTTCACATCGTTTGCGATAGATATATATTGTAACACAAGTCATAAGAAATCTTACTCAGGTATACACGAGGATTCAAAAATATCCAGTACCGCTACTCCACCGTATTTGCAGATATGAGATATACTGGTTTCTATTGTTGTAATGATTTAAGTCTCACTCGGTGTTTACACTGGTTAGATTTTGGCAAAACTTGTATGTTCGGATGCAAATACGTATTATTTTCGAATTTTTTTACTAATAAAATTTTTTATGAATTAGTGAAAAAGAATAAAAGTCTTACCAAAGTCTAACCAGGATCACTTTTCATCCACTTAAGAGAATTTACAAAACATATATAAATAAGAAGAATAAGGGAGACTGGGGTGAGAATAAAGAAGAGCTATTATTAGTGTGAGTATTTAACTTAGTCTGAGAACAGATCAAAGAGTCTCTCCACCTTAATCGATCATATATGAATATAGCTTAAGTTTGTGTAACCATTTGGGGCAAAAACAAAAACCGATAATTGGCATTGTGAGTGGTATATAAGCAATTATAGCACAAATCGGAGATGTACAAGTTAAGACATGTAACTGTTTAGCACTTGGCTATACTCTGGATTGGGCTAGAATATTTTACATTGTACAAGGGAGAAAATTTAAGTTAGAGCCCTGTTCAAAACCTTGTTTCGATACAAAATTAATCACGAAATACTGATTTTGGTCGGATATGATTTGGAGGGCTGAAAACTCTTATCTTTTATCGATTTAACTGATGTTGTTTCTATTGTTGTAAGATTCTATATATTCATGATACGTAGAGAAGGATCGACTTCAGCAATATAGAGGGAAGATTTAATTATTATGGCATTGGAGACGGCATTTTATGGCCAGAGGAAACTTGTTCTTATATAAACGTGGTTTGGAAGAGAATACTACCTCGATATAAAGCCTTTAAAACTTTGTTCTATATGCGACCTTTTGCGGTAAGCTTCGATATATTATAATACGAAGAAAAAGATCGACGTAGGAAAATCGAAGGGAACACTTTACTCATTTGTAGCAATATTTGGATGTATATGTCTATGCCACGAGAGAAGAAATTATTTTAACAACTGGTTGTGGATTCTTTTGATCATATCGCACAATGAACACGAACCAGTACTGTCTACGCGACGATCCCTTGTAAGCATTTTTCATCACAAATATAGGCGAGTAGCGCTGTTGGATGCTCGTGTGCACCGGAATTAAAGCTTTTCGTACAATAAAAAAGATAAATATATTAATTTAGAATATTAAAATACATTTAAGAATCATTATTAATAAGCAATTAAATGTATGAATTTGCACTGATATTATGAATACTTATTTTAATATAAATTTTAGTGATCTATTATTATTAAATTACATTTAGGATATTTTCGTGATACTTCAGTAATAATCTTTATAAAAAATTCTTTACATAAAAATTTTGTTACATTTTTGTAGTTATAATTAATTGTGATGCAGTATGATTCCGATGGATTACAGATATACATATATAGAAGGTATTGACATTTACATTTTGAAAATGAAAAAAAAAATAATGTTTATAGCATAATAACATAAAGAGGACGCATATAAATCAAATCACAGTATTTAAAATTCTTAAAATTACTTAAAGCAATTATACTTAAAAAATGGGAGTCTTGAAAAATCAGACCTGTGCTAAGTGTAAAATAAAGATAAAAACAAAAAATAGAAAACTTAAAATTATTTTAAAAAATTTTGTTCTTATAATTTTATTAATAATATTTTAGACGTATTCATACTAATTTCCGAGTACTTCTCATATGATAAAAGCAGTTAGGAAATCATTTTCTATGTTATAAGAATAGTAAAACTGTCATATATATAAAATAGCGCTTTATAGTTTTACGATGAGAATATTCGAATTCGAATATTTGGGCAAAGTCGTGAGTTTTATTTAATTTTTTTTTTATTTAAATAAAATTCATATAACAACAAACACTCAAACACAATATCAGGTTCAAAAATTGTTGAGCAGCTCACTGTCTTCGACACATGGTGGATTAATGTTCGAAACTTCGAATATCTAATACAAAAATAAAATTAGTTATATATAACCAATGCACGTTAAACAATTACACATCTACACTATATTTCAAAAATCATGTCGTTTGTTATCTAAATTATTGACTGTAATGCAAGGACTTCACACCGGAACTAATCCGTAAATCGAAAAAAAAGCAATATTTATTTATGGTGTAGTGAAAAATGTAACTAAACCGATGTAAAGTTTTTTTAATTCAATCCGAATGAATATATACATGATTATGACTTTATATATAGTGTTTACTTTTACAGTAGCTTATACTGTTTTATAAATATTTTTTGAGAAATAATTTTTGATCTTAAAAACAAATAAAATTCTTAAATTTCATTGCTAGAAGCTATATCTTACTTGGCGTTTACACTGGGTAACCTTTGACAAGATTTTTCTGTTCGAATACAAATAGTATTATTTTTTTTCGAATTTTTTAATATTATTTTCGAATTTTACTTGCTAACAAAAAATCTTACCGAAGTCGTGTCAGTGTAGACTCAGTGCAATAATATTTAAGGTAATCAATAATTACTTGGTAATTAGAAATTTTATCTATATTTAATCTAAAACATTTTAAAAAATTTACTATCGCAATTTGTTAAGTACACTTAAACTCTGATAAGACCTTACTTACTCACTACATTTAGGTTAAACAAGTGATTCTTTTCATTCTAAAATAAATAAATAACCGAAATTAGAATCTAATAAACCCATATAATTTGATAGCTAAAATATTTGGAAATAGTGTGAATACGTCTTGTTTGAATACTTATAAAATTGTAAAGTCGGTTACCTTACCCGATGTGCATGTCACATATATTCAAATGCATTCATTTAGCAAAAATGAACTACTCTAGCCGTTTTCAAACTTACTCTAAACGCAGTTGGAGTTTTTGCGCAAACGTAAAAGCTTAAAATATTTATTAGGTGGCCTACAGCGATTACTTACATTTGCCACAAAAGCGTAAGCATCAAGTAAGCTGTCGTCCTTTAGCTCATGTTGTGTTATGCTGCCTTTAAAGCTGCACCATTCTGTAGCACGGTTATAACTAAAGAGTGGCTGATGCACACGTGGTATATTCAATTTCTCAGCACACATTCCAGTCAAATAAACATCTTCTAAATATATAAAAGATGTATTCAGTGACATATCATATAGACGTGGCACGACATCCATGCTCATCATATAACCAGCGCCAGAAAGATAACGTGGATATTTATCCTCTGGGTACATATAGTATGGCATATACCATTTACTGGTTATATTTGCAATCGGGCGGCTTGTGCAAAACAGATGACCCGTTAAATAGTTGTTTGTTTTATTTAAACGATTTCTAGCTGAAAGTACTTCATAACTTTTTAAATCATGCATATCTAAAGTGTTATTATAAAGCGGAATAGTGCCGCCCAATAGGAAATGTATTAAATTGGGTACGTGCACGAAGGTATCATCGTCACTCTTCATGAAGAATGCAACTTTACCTAGGCAATGTTTAGTTATCCATTTCAGTGCCATAACAGATTTAAGAGTTAAATTATTATAGGTGTCTGTAAAATCCTCTTGTATGATATCTTGGTATTGTTGGGCCTCTTTATGTATTAGCGCATTAACAGTTTCGTTGCCAATCATAATATCAGGTTCGTTGCGGCCCACAAGAAAAACAACTTTTATAGGCACTGTATCAGGCATTATTGTGTCCTATAAATAACAAAATTCGTTATATATAAAGATAATAACAATTATAACTGAATTTATTACATTTTTATCAATTCTTAAAAATTCGCTGTAATATTTTATGCGTTCAATCGTTGGATTCAGGTAATTTTTATTAAGGTGTGCATGCATCTCGGAGAACTTGTCGTAGTTGAACTGTGTTGTATTTCCCCAAGTTTCACGTATGATTTGACTAAAAATATAACTATCATTAGCAATATTCGTATATTAAAAAAAAACATTTAGTTATAATAATTATAAACAATTATTACTTAACGTAATGGCATAAATACTGCTTTGGGTTGATAATGTAATAAATGTCGGAAACGGTTTATCAAATGTAATTTGATAACAATATTAAATACATATATCAGTAAGCTGTTATTTTATGTTTTAATAGATAAATACATCATTTAAAAAGCTGCAACCCTTGCATGTGTTAACATACAATATACATATATGAACGTATATGGCAAAGCGCTTATCTTTGATATAATCCAGTATATCTCAATCAACTTACCGTGTTGCAAAATTCTGTACGCTCGAGCAAACAACAATTAAAATAAAAATTTTCTCATGGCATAAGTTGTGGGGTTCGATTATAGTTGTGTTCGTATCAGGCAGCACATAGTCTGGCATATGCCGGGATGTATTTAAACTCCAACCGGGCAGAGGAGCTGAAAAAGTAAAATGTTCAATAATTTTATTATAATAAAGCGTAGCTACAATATGGCTTACCACTACGGCTATGCACATCAGAATACAATGGTAGATATAAAATGAAGAGAAATGTTGGCAAAAGTAGCGTCCATAATACTATACGCCCAATGCGTCGCGCACCACGATGTATTTGGTGTCGTCGTCTTCTGGACGAGCTTTGTTTCAATTTACTTGTCGGTTCTAATTTCACCTTCATTCTGTATGCTCTTTCATGTTGATCAACATCGTCTTCACTGTCGCTACTGGATGAATTGATATAAGTTACGGAAGCTGGGTTTGCAGGGGTTGCGCTTTTTTGTTTGAGCAGAAATTGTGTTTCCTGTTTTTGAGAAGGCATTTTTCATCTTGTGAATTATGAATTCCTGCTGATACTATTTATATTTTTATGTGAATATTTGTCATCGGGGCAGCGTCCATTGACCTTGGCTTGCATTTAAAATGCATGTTTTACTTTTTACACTGTCTTCATTTAATTTATATATTTATGGACATTATTGTAATTTTATCAATTAAATTACATTTAATGGATTTTAGAATTATACAAGTTTCCAATAATACATTTTAATTGAATTGTTATTCCATTTCCATATTCGGTAAAAATTTTGCTACCATGAAATTAATTAATTATCACGTGTTCTACATAACTATAAAAGAATATTAACGAAAATTTCTGTTATCAGCGTAAAATTTGATTTATTTGAAAATAATTTCCCTGCTTTGCAAATAAGACAATCACAAATCCACCGATAAACGCAACTGATTGGAATTGCAATAAACAAAATTAACGGAATAAGAAAGCCCAGCTGGTTTTCATACTTTAAGGTGACCATGTGTTTTTATTGAGAATGACAGTTCACATATTCTAAGTGCAAATATTATTTTAAGAGGACCACCAACAAAATTTAAAAAAATGTATTATCATAGAAGCGAAATAGCACATCAAATTAATTTTAATAATTAATTTGATGTATTAAATTTTGATGGTTGCTCATGTGGTTGGTGGTGTAGAAAAGCAATTTTGAGCAGTAATTTAATACTAATTTTGTTATTTAAATATTATATATTTTTTTTATTTTCGTTGTTTATAGTTCCGTTTTAGTATTAATAATATAATTTACATTTTTATTTAGGGTAAAAAAACAAAAAATATTTAAAAATGCCTAAAAAAATGTATACGTATTTATTGGTTTCATTACCTGTTCAACAGTATTAAAACATGAGTAAATCTATTGTAGGATTTGTACTATATCTTGTCATGTTAGTTAAAATAGTGTTAATCACTACAAAATGTTAGAATTTGCTGATTTTAAGATCAAATTATTATTATCAACAAAAAAAATATTTCTTTTCAAGCTGAGGCACATTTACAAAATATGAACATGATAAAAACGGTACAAATGTGGCAATTGAGATATGATTTTCTTCATACCATGCTTCCATTCGTCATATGACTGACTACATTTATACTTACAGGTGAGTTATTTTAACATAAACTTTTCAAGCATTGCAAATGAATAATTTTTGGCTACAGAACACTTTCAATTCATAATTTACAATATTTTAGTAAAGGATGTCTATTCACACGGCGTTATCCTAATTTCCGAAAGTTATCCTAATATTATTTGCAATTTAATATAATTTGTTATATTTTGCTTTAATTTCTGAAAATTATCCACTATGCAGTTACGAAGTTATACAATTTTGTTTTTTTTTGGTTTTTTTTTTTTGTAAAGTTATACAATATGAATTACAAAATTAAAGCATGATCTTGCTCAAATTACAACTTATTCGCCATTTTAGCAGTCAGTATCGATTTCATTATGCTATGAAGCTGACGGAACCCACATAATTACAATTAAAATTAAGATTACATGTGTCATGTGAATACGATATAAACATGAAAAACATATAACCGCAAATATTATTAATATGATTTATTTAAGGAGCATATGTACCTGCATGTGAGCAGGTATAACACATGTACTATATTTTCATTTTTATTATATATCTGCCAATCTATATAAATGAATTTTAAATAAATGGCAATTTTGTCTTTTTGATTCTTTTTTTTTTAAATTTTTTGCTCCTTTTTGTTGTTGTTGGTTTTGTTATATTAACATGCGTGTCTGAATATCTGTGCATGTATGTCAAAATCGAGTATGATTATAAACTTTGTCTCTAATGATTTTTAAGAATATAAGCTAAATTTGTTTTTGTTAATATCCTGTTTCATATGTTTCATTTGAGTAACTCAATGTAATTATTTTATTACATGGTATATATTTCACAATTACATTCTTTCACTTTATATTTCAAACCACTGTCTTAAACATTTTATGAGTGTTAGTTTTTTTTAAGCTTGGCAGCTCTACACCGATTTTGGCGTTTTTGCACTTTTGCCGGTCAGCAGCTGTTCGTGAGTTTGACTGAACACTTCGAACGCTAACGTAAGCTCTAATAGTTAAGAGTAGTTAGTGGAACTTATTAATGCCAGAAAATACGAGAGTTTCATAAACAAAATGTCAACTAAATCAACATCAACTCCATCGCCAAATCCACTAGCTGCGCTCAGTGGAAAACGTTGGAATAGTTTGCGAAATATACTTGAACGCAATGGGCCTTTTTACAAATCAGATTTTGTACCATCAAAAGATAATTTGGAGTTTTTACAAACAATAAGCAAAATATTGGTTATCGGTAAGTATTAATCAAAAGTCGGTTGAAGCAATTGAATAAATTTTTACGATAATTAATAAAATTACAGGTGCGGGTGGCCTTGGCTGTGAATTATTAAAAGATCTTGCTCTAATGGGCTTTCGTGATATACATGTCATTGACATGGACACTATTGAATTGTCAAATTTAAATCGCCAATTTCTGTTTAGGCGCAAGGATATAGGTTTATCGAAAGCAGAATGTGCAGCAAAGTTTATAAATGAGCGCATACCAACAAGTCACGTCACTCCTTATTTTTCAAAAATACAAGATTTCGATGAAGATTTTTATCGCCAATTTCATATAATTGTTTGCGGCTTAGATTCTATTGTAGCACGTCGTTGGATTAATGGAATGCTGTTGTCATTGCTAGTTTATAGTGATGATGGGAATATTGAACCATATTCAATAATACCATTTGTCGATGGTGGCACGGAGGGTTTCAAAGGAAATGCACGTGTTATATTGCCTGGTTATACGGCATGTATTGAATGTACCTTGGACTTGTTTCCACCACAAGTGAATTATCCGTTATGCACAATTGCCAATACGCCACGTTTGCCAGAACATTGCATAGAGTATGTTAAAATAATACAATGGGATAAAGAAAATCCATACGGTACTGCACTTGACGGTGATGATCCTGCTCATATCACATGGGTTTATGAACGTGCATTAGAGCGCGCCAATCAATACAATATTGTCGGTGTAACTTATAGGTAATTGGTTGGTTATTGGTGCTACTACGTATACTAATGAAATTGAATTTTAGATTAGTTCAAGGTGTTATTAAGCATATAATTCCAGCTGTAGCAAGTACTAACGCAATAATAGCTGCAGCGTGTGCAACTGAGGTAAAGTTTTTAATGTGTCTCAAAGTTAACTTATACTTACCATATATCGATTTATATTTTAGGTTTTCAAATTTGCTACTTCTTGTTACGACAACATGTGTAATTACATGAATTTCAACGATTTGGATGGAATTTACACATACACTTATGAGGCGGAAAAATCTGAAAATTGCTTAGCTTGCAGTAATGTTCCACAGAAAGTTTGTATTGATGATCCAAATACTACGACATTGGAAGATTTAATAAAGCTGTTGTGTGAAAGTCCACGTTTTCAAATGAAAAATCCAGGTGCGTTCATGTATTATGAATATGAAAAATTTTTAATTTTTTTTAATTTATGTTAGCTATAACTGCTGTGATTGCTGGAAAAATTAAAACGCTTTACATGTCCACCATTAAAAGCATAGAAGAACATACACGCTCAAATTTGACAATGTCACTGGGTGAATTAGGCTTACAAGATGCGCACATGTTACAAGTATCTGATCAAACATCACCAAATACGATTAGTTTGTGTTTAAAATATAATATTAATGAAGTGGATATGGCATAATATGTAAATTTGAAACTTAAAAAAATATATTGTGATAAGTTAAGAAATGTTTTGAGTATATAAATTGGTTAAATGTTAGTGTTGTGCTGTTCATGATGTCACAAAGTTACATACAAACAACATTTAAGTTTTCAGTTTCATTTAATGCAGTAACACAAATATGTATAATTTAGAAAATAATATTCACAAACAATCAAACAATAAAAATCATAAAAAAAAACAATTAAAATGAAAGTTTAAAAATTAGTTAATACACTCAAGAATTAACTGCAAATAAAATGCTGCTCATTCGCTTATTTCATCGATAACTGGCACATTTTGTAGTTCTGAGCATTTTCGTTTCCATAAAACCACTTGTTCTTTTAATATCTTTTCTTTGGCAGCAGCTCGGGTAAGTAATACTTTTGCTTTTTCCAGTAATTGACATTTCTTAATGAGCTGCTCTTTTACATATCTGAGCTCTTCACTAATTTGTGAATCGATCTATATGATATTGAATATATACAGATTAATGATGCTTTTTTATATATAAGTATATGATATTTTTACCTTCGTTTGGCAGTTACAAATTGGATTCTTAGTTTTTTCATTTAATTCAATGTGCAATAACGATATTTTGTCCAAAGACTCTGTGTACAACTGTTGTAGTCTGGTCAACTCAACAGAGGTAGCATCACTAGAAACACTCTATAAGGTATAAATTAAATAAATTAAATTTGTAATAAATTAATTAATTATTTTTCTTTCTTACTCTAGTCTCGCTTGGACGACGTCCATCCTTTAGATATTTATTTTCAACACGTAGTTTTTCAACTATACGTTTCAATGATAGTATCGTTTGATCTGCTGATGTACCCGGTTGGTGCACGGGTTTATTACTGCTGCATTTGCAGAGCTGCTCACGTACTTCTACATGAGCTAACTCCTCTTTTAGTGCAATTATATAGCTAGAATGGATATAATATGAGTATGTTTTTTTTAATAGAGTAAGTGATCTCATAAAGAAAGTTTCATATGAATATAGAGGATATAGGTCAGATCATTTTTAACCGCGTCCTTGCGTTTATATAAAGTCAATTTTCTGATTTTCTAAAATATGAATATATTTAGTTTGGCAGAATGTTTATAACACGAGGATAAAGCTCTTGAATACATTATGATTGATATATAGTCATGATTATTATGGCATCATCAATTGGTTTATGGGTCTGTTGGGCTGTTTTTTTATGGAGATTAGACTATTAATTTTTGAGCTAAAAAAACAAATTTTTATATAAGGACTTAGTGATAACATAAAAACGATAAATGGATAAGACTGGTTGACTATATTATCTAATACCCACATAAAATTATTGAGAAATATTAGCTTTCACTTTTAAATGTGTATATGTATTCAATTCCTGATTTTATTCTAATTCGTATTTTTTAAGAAATAATTAATAATTATTCTATAACAACACTATATATGTAAATATGGTTGAAACTCCAGGAAAGCTACAGTAAAATTTTTCTTTTTTTTAATGTATTCGATTCTTTTTTTATATAAATTTGTATTTTATAAATTAATTATAATAACAATCAAATATAGTAGACTCTCGGCATAACAATATATATAATGTCAAGACCTTTGGTTATTGTTGGATCTGTAAAGCAGATAACTTGAAAGGAATTACAAAAACGGCCGGGTCTGTGTCTTAGAGTCACTCGTCGCCAGCAACGACCAAGTGCCGTTCAACATTTCTCAAAGAGACTTTACAAGAGCAGGTCCCAGCAGGCTAAAATAACAACTAAGGAACTAACATACATGTCGAATACATATGTTAGGATGTAGATGGGTAGTGATTGTGTGAGTTGGGAGGGGATTATTAGGAAGTGAAAGTGAATTGTGAGATAGATGCTATTTAAATACAAATCAACTAGGCTCAAGACGGAGAAATCTAGCTACTTTTATGGGGCGGGTTCAAAGGACGACTGGATTCAGGTTCTGTGTGCGTAGAGGCAGGTAGGCCTTTTGTTATATTGTTTGCAACATTTTTTTTTTTTTAGCGACGACATTTCTGTCGTTTTTTGTTTGTTCGTCATTGAAATAATAATTACTTACTCCTCTAAATGTTTAATGCGTTTCTGCAGTCTTTCGGTTTCATCTCCCTGCCTAAATAAATCATTATTCAATTGTAATTGTAAATTTCTTGCCTCCAAACGCACATTATGTGCCTCCGTTTTAGATAGTTTTTCTTGTAATTTTTCCATTTCAGTTGTAAGTGCATTAGTGCCTTTTCCCTCCAGTTCCATAGCAATTATTTTACGTTGTTGGAATTCGATGCGTGCTTTTAAAGCTTCAATTATCTCTTCATGCGGATTTCCTTGAGTTTCAAATGATGAGTTAGCATTTCGTGAATTGATAAAATTACATGCCGATTTGGTTTTACCCACTGGTGCACTATGTATGGGTGAACTGCTTTCACTACTGTTACCGGCATATAATTCTGGAGTTTCAGAACTTAAATATTTAGTGTGACGTAGATTTGGACATGAAGGAGTTCGACAGCATTTGAAATTTGGCATACTTGTTTCAATTGCTGAAAGATGAAAATTTAATTATTTATTTTAAAATTTTTAACAATTTGTGTATCTAGATATATATATTTATAATATATTTTTACAATAAATTTACTAAACGTACGTCGGTTCATTTTACTTTCCAACATTTGTTTATCTTTTTCCAAACGGTTTATTGTAGTTCTCGCTGATTGCAATAGAGTACGTGTTTTCTCCAAAGTAGTTTCATTTTCTTCCAACTTTAATTTTAACTTCTCTGCATTCTGTTGCCAACGTTTCTGTTTATCCCACAAATGTATTTCTGCATTAGATTTAGCTCTTTTAGCTTCTAATGCGACGTTTTGTTTACGAATTTGCACTCGTGCGTCCTCCAAATCCAGTTCAAGCTGTTGAACACGCTTCTGGAGGTTTTCATTTTTGACGCGTGCATTTAACTCGGATTTGATGGAGACAACTGGACGTTTAATCAACTGATTACGGAGTGTTTGATTCTGTTCTCTTGCTTGCTTCTCCCGTTGCGTAATGGCGGTCAGTTGGCGACGTAATGCTTCTACTTGGGTTTGATAGATTTTATTTGTGGCTTCCGTACGTGTTAAGTCGGAAGCAAGTTTAGATATTTGATCGGCAGTGTAATTGGAAGAATCGTCAATATAACGTTGTTGATCATCCTGGAATTGAGTTTGTGTTGTGAGAAAATATATAACAAAATTTGAAAATATTTATACATGGAAGGTTTTTAGTGTTTCCATTAGTTCATTAATATGTTTGTCCTTTTCGTCCAGCAAAGTCCGTAATTGTTCTACTTCTGAACTGGTTTCAGTACCTACAGATTTTTCACGTTCTTGACATAGTTGCAATCTGAAATCGATATTTTATTAAATAATTTGTTGACCTGTAAATAGCACATAATAATACTTTTCCTTAAGCAGTTTTATATCTTCTTCTTTGCCTTTTAAAATAGTAGTTACGTATTTTAATCTTTCTTTAAGTTTTTTGATTTGCAACATTAAGGTTGAAACTTCTTTCAAATTTTCTTTATCCTGTTTTTCGATAAATTCATTTTCTTTACTTCTATCTGTTAAAATTGTTGAGGCTTTCGGAGCAACCGATATGGGTGAAGATTCCTGTTCAAACATTTCCTCTATTTTTTCATCAGATAGCTCATTGAGACTGTTATCGACACTTTCGTTGGCAACCAATGCAGTTCTCGCTAGATCAATTTTTTCGTTAGAGTTTCGACGTATGTACGTACTCTCCAACTTAGTTTTAAGCTCTAATATTTCCAGATCTTTTGATTTAATATTGACATTTAAGTTATCAACAGTACTCTGTAGGCAGTCAATATCAGTTTTTAATTTAATAAATTGATTTTGTGTGTGTTCACGTTCAGTTTGAAGTAAATCTTGATATTTGCTGATTGATTTATCTTTTTCCGTAAGTAGAGCATGAAAAGAAAGTATCGTTTTCTGTAATAGATAAACTGAAGATTACCAAAAAATATATATATAGTAATAAGTATGAAAATTACTTCAATAATTCCAGATTGTTGGGATAAGTCTGGGCTTTCTCTCGCTACAGTGGATGATGGTATTGCAGCAGTGACTGCTGACGTTTCTTTGGTCTTACTGTCAAGTTTGTTCGCTTCTAGTGCATTTTGCAATTCTTCAATGCGTTTTTGTGCATTTTGTAAACTTTAGAAATATATACATATCAATAAAAAAATTATATGAAAATTAAAAATTATTAATGTTTTCTTACTTTTGTTGACTATTTTTCCAATGTTCTTCTGTTTCCAATATTTTTTTACGCGCTTCTTGCAATTCTTTTTCCAAAGAAACTTTGTCTGGAGTGACGTTAACGTCATCTGGTTGTAATTCTAACGATTGTACACCCAATGTGGCAGTAATAATCTGATCCGTTTGTGTAGACACCTCAATTGTTTCTACAGCTTCGTTTACAGTTGATGTTGTACTTATCTCTTTTGACTTATCAATTTCCGCCACCTTACTTAATCGATCAGAAAGTTCCAAATCAGTCTGAGTTGCAACTGTAGTACCTTCTTTTTTCTTAACAGGAGAACTTATTGGTGATGTGTTTTTATCAACCAATTTTGTTGGAACATTTTTGGCTGACAATTTTCTTTCAGCTGGTATAGGAGGAGGTTCTGTATTTGTAGATGCATCCGTGAATTGTAAACTAACTTTTGTTACAACTGGTTCAGTGATGGAAGCAACAACTTCATTGATTTTGTCCTGACTAAATAATGCTTCAATTGTTTGCCAATGTTCACTTTCATTTGCATTTTCGATTCTTTGCTTGGTCAAATCCTGTTGTAGCTCCTCGCATTTCACTTGCATTTTTGCAAGATTTTCTTCAAGAAGTTTACATTGCATTTCCGTTTTAACGAGCTAAATATATTAGAAGTCAATAAATTTGTTTTGGATTAACTTATTGTGCTATTGAAATACTTAAAAAAAATAATAATAAATATTAAAATAAATTAGTTCAAGATGATAGAGTTATTGTAACTAAAATCCTTGATATTTTAGTTAATATATTGTCTATACTATATATATATGTATAGATATATGTATATATGTATATAGATATATATGTATTTATATATTATATATATACATAAACTTACTTTTATTAGATTTTGAGATTCATCGCTTTTTTGATCTTGCAGTCTTAGCAATATGATTTCTTCCACTATATTCGTTACACTCTCTTTAAATTGTTCATCTTTAGTTTCTCTTACTTTTTGCATAAATCGTGTGTAAGCATATACAAAGTTTGTCAGGAAGATCAGTGGTGTAAATTTAGAATATTTTTCCTTAAGAGTATATAACGATTTTTGTAGAAACCTAAAATGATTACAGGAAAAATAGAAGATTAATTTAAACAAAAAAATTTTACATATGATAAAATAAAAGTAGTATTAACGATCATGATAATGATTATCATATCACATAATGATTATCGAGCACCAATTTAAAAAGATCAAATGATTATCAATTAATCACAATTAAAGTTAAAAAGGTAAAAAAATTGAATGCGAGAGCAAGAGCGCAAAATTTGCTTCCAGAGGATCTCTGGCGATTTAGTACATGCTACATGTTGTCCTCTCTTCTTCTAGACATAGTATGCAAGTGTTTTCCTCAACAAAATCTATTTTTTGAGGTTACATGTCCAGTTAGCAATGAGCTCATCCCTTAGGGGCGCCGTGGATAGACAAACACTTTATCTCTTCACTGACCATCGGTTTTGGTATCATAAATTTAACCTGTCTACAAGTGCTCGTCTTTTTTCACCTGCTAAGATGAATTGAAGCTATCCTTTTCATCGACACAGGCCGCAGTCATGTTGTAACCCATGTTCTGGACCGCTTAAATTATGGCTTGATATTTATTTGATATTTGCAAGTTTATTTGCCTTTTCGTTTTGCTCAATACCGATGTCCTTAAACTTACACGACTGTTACCTCATCTCCATGTGCATCTTGTTATAAGCTGTTGACTACGCACGCCTTTTGCATACTTTCGATAACTGCTTAACTGTCCAGCGCTATCAAAATCTTTTTCTGATACTCCTGATAATCCCTTAAGTGTCCAGAGAATTTGTGACCGCCATAAGTATCGCCTGATAGACGGAAACATATAACCTAGATGTTGAGTGCACGGTAGCTTTAGTTCTTTCGAGTAAATTCCAACACCAGCTCTGCAATCCATCAAGGAGCCATTGATCGATCATTGACCTTATACAACCTTAAACCTTATATATAAACCTTTTCTTTTATATAACCAAAATTCCAAACTTATATATTGATAATAACTTTAATGAAAGCACTAACCCTTTATAAACAGTAGGTGCTTTTTATTAGGGATGGCGTTAATACTAGAATAAATAAATATTTATCAGAGTAATACAGTAATAAAAATACAGTAATAAACCGAAATGCTCTAGGATCACAATCCTGATTGAATAAATTAAATACTGGACCAATATAGCAACTTGTTATATAGATAGCTAGAACAATTAATTTGTTTTTATGAATATTTTTTTGGAAAAAATATTATAACAAATTATTTATCAAATAAACTATTTATAAATCTGTTAAATTGTTTTATTTTTAAAATACGTATGTATTTATAGAAAACATTAAATCTGTTTTCTAAATGTGTACTTACTTAATTTTAATATCCTTATTTTTACGTTCTTTCTGGAAGTCCTTATTTAAGTTAATAGTTATTTGTACTTTAGTATTTAAATCGGTTTTTAATGTTTGGCATTTATCCTTTAACTCATTTCGTTCAAGTTTAAGTAAATTATACTCAGATTTAACTAAAATGTAATTAGAATACGTTATTCTAACGATTATATGTATGCATATAGACATACCATTATCAATATCGCGTTGCATTTTAGCTAATACTAGCTTATCCTCGGTTGTGCTTTGCAGATCAGCAACTAAATGTCTGAGATTTATGTGGTTATCCGTAATTTCATTTAACAAATTTTGTTGTGATTGTATCTGACACAGAAATATTATTAGAAATATGTAGTTAAGTAACCAATGAGTGCATAAAAATAATTTCATACCTGATTTTGTGCTATTTCTAATAATCCTTCAAGTTGAAGTATTTTTCGTTCTAAATCTATTTGTGTTTCATTCGCTAACTTAAGACTAGCTTTAAGATCTTCATATTCCTGAAAAGTTAAATAATCTAATTCCATATTTTCTCTTATAACGCCATAGTCAGTGCAGAGCTCTGTGATCTTAAGATCTTCTCTTAGTTTTCCTGTTAGCACATGTTCTATAATATAGGCTAGTTGGGCACGCAATTCGGCATTCGTTTTTTCTAATACTAAATATTCATCCACATTGTAGGTTCTAGTTTTTTCATCTTGATTCAAATTGAATTCCAGTTTTTTGATGAGTTCTGTTTGCAATTTGTGATCTTTTTGCATATCAGACACGATTTCTATATGACGCAATTCTTTTTGCTTAGCTTCTGTTAACATGGAGTCAAACTCTTTACGCATAAAGTCATAAGAACTGGAAGTTCTGTTTAATTCTAATTTTATATTTTTAATCTGTTCTACTAAATCGGCACAATAACGTTGTAATTCTAATTCACTGGCTGACATGTGTATCTTCAGTTCTTCATAATATTTCTCATAAATTTGTAGCTCTTTCACTTGTCTTTTCAAATCATCATTATTTTCTAAAGGTTCAGCATCATCTATAACTGGTAGCACTACATTAGGTTGCACATTTGGTGATGATGGTCGTGTGGAAGTATCAATATTATTTGGTATTTTCATATCAGCTATATTACCATCACAAATTTCTCCTCCTTCGCGTATACTTTGTACAGATGACAACTCATCGGCATCTATATCAACAAATTTCATTTGCATTTGCATCCCAAATATATGTTGTATATTTTTTTCACGCATTTCTAATGATTTCAGTTGTTGTTGTAACCAATTCGACGTTGGTGGCACAGTACGTAAAGATTCTATTAAACGTAGGAGGAGTTCAGAATCGATGGTAATATGATCCGAATTATCTGAAAAAACAAAATATATTCTTGGATATATTTATAAACTGATATATAAAAGGCACTCACCATCGTATTCACGTAGTTTACTTAGTATTTCATGCATTCCTACCCGTAACGTATCATTTTCCGTAATAATTTCTTGGTATTTTGATTCCACATCCTGTTCAACCCATTCAGATTCCATTGGCAACTGAAATTAAAAGTATATATTATGTATATGTATATAAAATAATTGTTATCTTTAACAGATTTTCAACTAACATTTAAATTTTCCTTACGCATACGGCATGTACTACATTCAGTACTAAGGAGTGGTTTTTCTGTAGTTGTGCTGTCTTCAACCTCTCCAACTTCACTAGGAATTTTTTCAATGCTTGATCTTTCCATTTCGATAACATTTGGATGCTGCCGTTTTAATGCAATAACTTCATTCCTAATAGTAGATAATTTTAAGGATTTATGTATAAATTTAAATATATAATCAGTCAAGTAAATGTTTGCAACTAGTTTTCTGTGACAATCTTATTGTGAGTATTTAAATTCTAACCTAAGAAATATTTCGTAAGAATTGTTTTGCTATTTAAACTATTAACTGTTATGTTTTGCATTGTATTGAAAACATTTACTTGGCAAACCGTTTAAGAATTCGATAAATTATTTTTATAATTACTTTAATTCATTTTTTTCTAATTTAAGCTGTAAACGCATTTCTTCTGAAGCTCTTAATTTTAATTTCAATCGTTCAATTATTTTATCCTTGTTACGTTCCTTCGCCGTAAAGTTTTTCACCACGATTACCACATCATCAGGTATATGTAAACGTTTTCGTAGGACTTTATTTTCTTGTATTATTTCATGCATTGAATTAAGTTCGGTTACAAGAGTCTGGATCCGTTTTTCGCGTGAGGCTAATTTTTGTTCTAAGCTACCACATTTACGCAATGCTTTTACCAGACCATCTTCACCGTGTTGGTAGGCTTCTAAAGCAGCAATAGCTTCCATTGCTTGTTTAGATTTTAAAGCACTTTCCTCCTCTGCAGTTTCCAACATATCTGTTAATTCACGACAGTGGTCATTGCAAGCCTGCAAAGCTTCTTCTATAGATTTACAACAGGTACGCGGTTTTTGTGGATTACGTTCATCTTCTTTTTCAGTAGATATTTTATTCATTAATTTTGTGGATCGAATCATTTCTTGTGCCATTTTCTTTATTTTCTTTTCCAATTGCTCTATAATCAAATTACGAGATTCTATTATCTGTAAAAGAAATCATAGTTGATAAAACTTTTATTGTGTTCTATCCGATAATAAAAGTTAATTTTATATAGTAATGAAGGTATAACGCGTATACTTGTAAATTACATTGAATTTTAATACATAAAATTGTTGTTATTTCAAGAAGTATATAGACAAACTTTTGCACACAATAACATGGACTGTTTTTACTAATAATAGTAATAATATCACTTTAAGAATTTAGATGCGAAAAATTCTCTATTAGGGGCAAAATGATTGCACCTTCCGAATGAAGTATTATGAAAAATATATAATATGTAATATATAATATATAATATATAATATATAATATATAATATATAATATATAATATATAATATATATAAATAATATAATTAATATATAATATATAATATATATACATAATAATAATATATAATACATAATATAATATATATTATGAAAAATATGCTATACATTACTAACTGCATTAGATTAATTTTATATGCTATATATTAAATGGGGATGGAGTTTCTAGTCGCATTCTGTATTAGTACCTGATTTTGCTCTGGGTCAGAAATGCTATACTGAAAAGATAATGCTTTATCCATATGATAATCACGGACTACCCAATTGAAAACATGCTGGTCTTGGTTAGAAACATGTATGTACATATTCTCTGCTCTTTACCTATTTGACATAAGTAATAGAACAATTACAATTCAGTTGAAGACATTCTGGATTTCGTTAGATAGACAAAATGACCCTTAGTTGGTTAGAAACTCGCTTATGGTACACAAGATCATTTAAAGCAATAGCGAAAGTCTCTGATCTTATTCTCTTCAACTCTATTTGATTTAAGTGTTACAATATTAACTATTCAGTTGAAGATACTTGCATATCAAAGCAGACAAATAATTTTTAGTTGGTAAAGAACTTGCTTTTGGCACAAAAGATCTATTAAGATAACAGTGAAAAGAATATGAACCTATTCTCTTTAATACTATTTGACTTAAATAGTCAAATAGAGTAAATTAAAGATATACTAGATTCTGTTGGACTGATTCTGTTGGATGTCTTCGAGACAGTTGGGAACTTACCTGTAGTATAAAATATCTATAAAGGTAACAGTGGAAAGCGTGTAAAGCTTTCTATTCTATTTCTTTTTCTCTTCTATTCTATACTACTTAAGTGCACCACGAACTATTCACGTGAGGACATTCTCGACTCTGATAGACAGACAGATATTCTCAAATCAGTTAGGAGTTTGTTTGTGGTATAAAATATATGAGGTAACAGTGGAAAGCATCTGAGTCTAGTCTTTTCTGATTGCTTTGACATAATTATAATATATATCGGAGTATAATGCATTTTTAGTATTAACTTTACTCACATTTTTTAATTCTATTGTTTCAGTTACTTCTTCACTTTCAAGCGCTGTGGTTTCACTTTTTATAGAACCTTCACTGTCTGTATTTCTATTAAGTTTTTCCAATTTTTTACGTAATTTTTTAATGTCTTTATCCTTTTCATCTAACATATGTTTCCATAATTGCGCTTTTTCTTCTAATTTTTCAATGAAGTTTTTAAGTTCTCGTTCGCTTTTATCTCGTTGCTCTTCCAGAAATGTTATACTGCTCTCAAGTCTTGTAATTTCAACATTCAATTCATTGACTACTTCTTTAAGAGATTTTCTTTCATCATCAACTTGTGTTATATCAGCACTTAACTGCAATAACTGTTCCTTCACAGTCTGTAATTCCTTCTCAGTTTGTATTATAGTCTTAGACTGTTCAATATTTTGATTTTGTAAGGTCTACAAAAAAATTTAACATAAATTGTTGATATATTGCTACTAATGTTTAGAAGGACTTGAAATAAAATAAAAATCTTATCTCAGAAGTAGAGGTGTTTTGTTTGAATATAACATTGTCCCTAACAATTACATTTAAATTAGACTTACTTCGATTTCCCTTAAAAGTCGTTTTATATGTTTATTTTTTGTGTTAATATTGCGTAGTAGTTCTTCCTGCTTGTCTAGTTCAGAAAGTGGATCTGAAGAGTCTTTGTCACTTCCTTCAGCTAAAGCAGCCGCATCTTGCAAACGTTTATGTAATGCAAAAATTTCGTCCGTGAGCTATGAATCAGAAATAAAATTAAAAACTATTTTTTAAAGCTTACATCAGAAACTCACTTCTTTAACTTTACTACTTAGTACATGTTTCTCATCTTCTAAATTTTCGATCATGCGTCTTAGCTTATCATTTTCATCCATAAGTCTTTCTACATCAAAAAATTAAAAAAAAACATTTTTTTATGAATGCATTTGAGCTTCCAATAAGTAATACTAGACCTTGGCTGTCCAATGATTTTGAATCTAATTGATCCTGTAAGTCATGTACTTGCTCGCCTTTGTACTGCAGTACAGCTAAGGTCACTTCTAATGTTTTCCGTAGGGATTTCTTTGGTATCTCTTCAACTACCTTAAACAAATTTAGTAGTGTTTGATATAATTCATCTTTTTCAGTTGCATTGAACTCTTTAAACCGCTTCACCGATACTACATCCGGAATTTCCATCTTTTGGCCATTAAGAAAATTGTTGATTAAACTATTAAACCACACTCAAAACACTCTAAAGTTGTGAAAGAAATCAGAAAACTGAATCGTTCTTGAATGTTGTTTTCCAATGCCAGTGTAAACACCACAAATGACATATGAGTTGCCATGACAACCCATGGCATACAAAGCAAATGTTGCTGGTCAAGTTTACAAGTAAACAATAGAGTTCACGTGCTACTGGGGTTGGTTTTGGCAGTTATTGTTTCTGTTTTGGTTATACATTTGGTCAGAGCACGCACCGAACCGTATCAACAAATGGAACTTCTGACAGGATAATTGCAAGCGCACAGTACGTCTCAAGTTATTGTCAGGAATTGCTATTGAAATTGTGGTGTGTTCCTGAAGTTTAATGAACGCAGTTTCTGTAATTAATCATAATTAGAGCTAATACCATAAAACGGTTATATTAATTTTTTTTATAAATTGAAAAACATAATATTTTCTATATTATATTTTTTTATTATATCTTCATTTTTTAAAATTTTTTTAAAAGTTCTGAGGAAGAGAATACCATATAACAATAATTAAATATATAATATAAAGATAATAATAAGTATATTATTTTAAAATAATATTATATTATTATAATATAATAATAATATACTAATAATATAATAATAATAATTTTAATCTAAAAATAATATAATATTAATATAATAACAATGTAAAAATAATATAATAAGTAATAAGAAATGCCGCCTTCATTATATATTTAAACTATTAGGTTCAAAGTTGCAAATGTTTTATACAAATGTCACACTCACCTTGATTTCTGAGCGTAATGGAATCGATAGTAACGAAACTGGTAAAAAAAAACTTGCAAAGGAGAGTATTTAAATTTCACACGGTCTAAGCCTTTCCGTGAGATACCCAATTTTTAGATTGCACCAATCGTACGAAATATATAATAAAAACATTATGGGAAGTTAAGTACCTGTGCTAGGTTAGATTATACCGGCGATCAATGGTGGATCTACTTAGGCCTATTGGCGCATACCATATTTGTAAGAAACACTCAGGGTTTAAAACCACTTAGAACCTTTCGGCGAAATCTAAAATGTTATTTTGTCTCAGGTCTTGTAATTGACCAAGATCATCAAGAAAGTGAGCTCCTAAAATGTTGAATTGCCGCCGTGGCTGAGCTGGGCAAAAACATAGTAGATGAGAGGCACTCTCATCGTCTTCTCCACATCTGCGAAAGGTTTGATTGAAAAGGAGACCTAAACTTCTAGCATGGTTCCTTAGCTTACAATGACCTGTAAGTAAACCTACCGAAAGACCTATGCATGACGTTAGCGATATGCTAACACTTAAGTGTTCCTAGTGAGATCTTCAAGCATTCTTTCTGGCTTATTCGTCTACTCTGCAATTGCCGAAAATATCCCTATGACCGGGAACTAGTGTTAAACCTTTACAACAATTAAAATGTTTATTCTTTGAACAAAAAAAATCATATTAGTTCAATACGAATATATATAGAATACAAAGTATGTGGGAGTTTACCGGTGTTAAGCCATATAACAATCTAAACTAAATTTTTTTAATTATCACTAAAAAAAAATCAAATAACGCAGATATATTGAATATAAATAATTTGGGTACTCTTGGACCGATGTGAAAGCTTTAAAGCAATCCAAACAGCTTACTCCTATTAAAAAAATGCAGTATACGCTCTTTCTAAAATATATATAATATAAATTAAGTGGAAAGTCATCGATCGATGTTAAAATCATATAGCAATCCAATCAATTTTTTCTTCTTAAAAATAATTTACTTTTCAGAACATCTTTGTAAATTAAATTTAAATGACGCTAATGCGAAGAAATACTGTAATTCAAATTACGTGGGAAGTCATGGACCGATGTTAAAGCTTTATACCAATCTAAATAGCTCATTCTTATTTTTGAAAAATGCAGCTTGCAAACTAAACAAGAAATCGTGTAAATATGTTAAAGCCGTACAGCAACACAATTCAAACACTATATCGGAGAAACGATTAATTAATAATGAAAAGATATGTCCATCCATCCATAGCTATGCAGTTTATATAAAACTTTAGAGTGTTTTACATAGAACCTAAGCTTGTTGTACGACATTCCTCTCTTTTTCTCTATTTTTGGCTTTTTTCTTTCAGTTAGTGGCATTCATATTTCTCAGATCTGTCGAACACTGTCACTTCATCTCCATCTCGGTCTTTTCTGTATATATATATAATTCCTCTATTTATGTATTTCAAAGGGATGTGGAGGATTGTTTCTTTTGTTTCTCAAGCTCACCCTCAGGGCTACGTGTTCGGTTATAACTTAATTTTTTTTTATCAAGCGTAGAAATGATATTAACTTCACAGACATGCCATGTAAATTTATACAGTTAAACTTCCATAACTCAAACTTCTATAACTTGAGTTTTCTTGAATTACATATAGTGGAACAGGGTTTAGAGAGCAAATTACATACAATTACAAAAAGTCTTTAACTCGAAGTTTTCATAAGTTGTACCTTTTCTTTGCAAAATGGTACTTCAAATTATGGAAGTCTGACTGTATTATCTTTTAAGCTATTCGACTCGCTCTACAATCCTATTCTCTATTTTGATTAAAGGATGAAAGTATATCGTTTGTTACTTTACAGGTAGTTATTTATTTTAAAACATGTGAATATACAAAAAAACTATTTTTAAAATAATTTTTTTAAGAATATTCTCAATATTTAAATTAAAAATACTATAAAAATAATAATTTAATATTTTTTATTCTTTTGTAATTGAAATTTTATTACGCTTTCTGAGTTAAATTACTTTTCACAAAACCGCATAAATCTGGTAAGCCCAACTTTCGATTGTTGGCATCGAACTGCAATAACATAAATTCGTAGGTAACAATTGTGGCCACCAACTGCAATTTAATGGGAATGTATAGTGAAATTAAAACCGAATGTTCATCAATGATGAAGTGGCCAACTTACGCCAAATAAACTTTTGCGGGTTACGAAGAAAAAACGTTTTCCACTTAGAGCAATGCATTCATCGGTAATTTGGGACGTAAAACGTTGCACCTGTAAAAATTCGAATCAAAATATTAAACACAAAAAAAGTAATATGAAAAAGTAAATATAAAAATAATATTCATTTATTGCACTGGGCACGACCTCTTCACTCCAACAACTTCTGGGTACCAGATATAAGGTTTTAAGTGGCAACAGCGAAGCATCATGAATTTTTGCCGCAAACAGAAATACTCCAGCACTGCGAGTCAAGAGAAAAATTAACGAAAACCAAAAATAAATATAATTGATTGGCCAACGTTGTTTGCTTTAATAAGAATATTAAAAAAATATCAATTAATTTCTTGAAATAGGTGTGGAAGCCGAAATTGATAGCGATACTTACGAAAAAATATTTAAAAGTTTATTACATATAAAATACATGTTATTAAGTGCCGATATTAAAACTATATTCGAAAGTTGCTCATCCACATATTCCATGAGTTCACAGAGTTTGATGTGGTGTTGCCGAAGTTCACACCATAATGAGTCCGGCACAAACTATGTATTTGGGATATGAAGTATTAATATTTTAAATCTGGACTCTAGCTTAAATAAATAGACTTACACGTCCTGTCAGAGTTTGTATACGTGTGGCAAATTGTTGAAAACGTGTACTTAATCCCAAGCTGATCAATATAATAAAGAAATCCGGAAAATTCCAAATCACAGTAAACATTCCATTTAGAAACTAGCAGTATTAGAAGATACAATTAAATATATCACAACAAAAGAACGATATATTAAAAATATTATCAATATCATGTAAAGTAGTAGCACCTTCAGTTTAAAGCTCTGGAAATTACAAGTGCCCTTGTATATTGCAAAGATCTGCTGATTTAATGGCAGTTTAATTATAGTAAAGAAAGTTGTAATATAAAAAATGATACCACTCTTTTGAATAGTGCTAATAGTTTACATAAAGTTTGGATTATATGGTAACCGTATCCAACATACGTACAACTGCATAAAAAGCAAATAGCCCATTGTAAGGTACATATGTGAAAATATCTGTATACTTTCCCTCAACGTAGTCCCGCAATGTGTTAGATAAGCCCGGTTCACAATGTGTGCGCAACATGCGGAAAGAGTAGTATTCTGACCAATGGTACATGACATGTTCGGCTTCGGTAAGAAATGATTTACAATAAAATTGTAATTGTATAAATAGTATAATATATAGAATACATATTTAATATACAAGTATAAATAAAAAAACACTATGTGATCCACTATGTTGAAAAATAATCTAATTATATTATAGGAGTGATAGGTGATATGATGTTATATGATGATTTTTTTATATAGAGATTATTTATGGCTCGCGTTATAATTAATTGTGGAAAAATTTAACACATAAAACTAAGGTGTTTTTTTTAGTTCAGTACCTTATTTTGTATCAAAAGTGGGTACTTTTATATATAAAGTAGTATTACGAGCATAGTATAGAATATTTTGTGTTGCAACAGACCCTAACCGAACAGAAGACATTTCGCATTTCGAATAAAAGCCAGAATGTCAGCTGTTGACGACCTCCTAATGTCAGAAGGGGAGAGTAGTTCTCGACCCAGTGACCTCCTCCAGGCACAGCTCAAGACTGGGCAGTCACAAAGAATGTGACTGGAAGTTTCGACTCTGCCTAAACGACAATCTATCTTTTAGGACAGACCCATTTTGTTAAGGTGTTAAATATCCCACCAGCAACCTCAACTCTCCTGACTCTCTTGAAGCCAATTCTTGACCAGAAAAATCATTCGCTATAAACAATAAATTTCTGGGCGCTTGCTTTCTTCAGACAGTCTTATGGTAGACAATACAGTTTGACTGTTCTTTCTTACGACTATCTTCAATTTTAATAGAGTGGTGCACCATTATACATCCTGCAATGTATATAATCGTGTGATTAATCATTATTATTATGTATAAATTTCATTTCGTTTGCGTTCACGATTGTGAACAATTCGCAATTGTGGTGTCGTAGACATGGTACCACTTATAGATCAATGTATGTTTGTGATTCTTTTGAAAAAAAAAAATTATTTTGCCTTAGCTACCGTAATTAGCGGACATAATCGCTATGACTCTTTTTCTATCAATCGAGATTGAAAAAAAAAAGAAAGGTTAAGGTTTTGATACTTTTTGAAATTTGAAACTGAATGGCATATCGAAAAGAGATCCCAAAAGTGTTTTAAGTTTGGAAAAAAATTCTGGCATTTGTTTTGAGAGCGTTACTTTGAATAAAAAATATGTAATGATTGACAAATAGAGATACTCTGAACATTCCTGATTATTTTTAATTATATTTTGCATATGAAATATATTGAATATAATAATAATATAACGTGTGTATGCAATAAAAAATTGTGTCTGAGCTTAAAACTTACCACTTGCAATCACTACAAAAATGAATGCAATTACTTTAAGTTTTTTACGAATTGTCCACTTGAGAGGTTCATATGGAGGTAGAAGAAAAATAAGATCCACTTGAGTCCAATACCTTATCAAAGTTGGCCAATTTTTAGCCAAATACAAAAAATTGATGCAAATCACAAACGTTATATAAAAGAAAACAATACCAACTGTAAAAAAAAAGAATAAATTATTAAATATATTGTGTCTTCTAAGAGTACTCAATCGTCACTGGAAGAAACCCTTAAGTACAAAAAAAGAAAAAAAGAACAGTACATTTTTGTGTAAACTGCACTTTTGATCAGTGTTCGGATGTGTCTTTCGGATGCTTACCAATATTTTTCGCATTAAGGCCAGCTGCTAACATTTCGGCAGTGAAATGCAAAGTCTTCAAACCACCGAAAATTACAAAATGGGCGGTAAAAATCATTGCTATAGAGTGGATGCTAAATTTTAAGCGGTTAGGACTGGTTGATAGTGTATTTTTGAGAGGCATGAGACCGAATATTTGTGCAAACAGAATATCTAAAATAGACATGTTAATTTTGTTGAAACTCTTATATATTTGTTGTACTTAAAGTTACTAACAAGGCTTAATTGCACAATGAAATATATCAAAATTTTTAAAGTCCTGTTGTTTGTAAATTCTCCATTTATTTGTCACATTTATTCTCATTTGTTGACGCCTTACTTTTAATTTTTTTAATAGATCATTTTTGGTATTTCGATGAGCCAGAAATACACCCCTTTTAATTTCTAACATGTTTTTGAACTGAAAATAGATGAATATACATAAATATTATGAATACTAGTATTAAAAATAATAGTATTAAAAATTCCTAACGAAACTTTATGTTAGTTTTTTATAAAGCTATTTAATAAAACATACTAGTATACATTCTAAAAAAAGCATTCGGATTTCCTCCTTTAAAAACTCATGTAAAAGATACATGGGAATAAGGGAATAGTTCTTTACTAGAAATAATAAAGAAGCTTTTAAAATTAATAAAGATTTTCGATTTTCTTGCCAAACTCAAATAGAAATGATGACTAGCACTTTATCGTCGATTACTAGTCGATTGAGTTCTTTACAGTTTGCACCATAACCTCATATTCTTTAGAAGCTACTCAAAGTGGAAAATTCTTGTTGAACGCGATTTTTTGACCAAGCACGGCACCACTGTCATCGCTCAGGCACCATATTCGCCAGATCTGGATCTGTGCGACTTTTTCCTGTTCCCGAAACTGAAATTACCCCTTCGTGGTAAGCATTTTGAGTCGATTGAATCGGTAAAACAGAATTCGCCGAAGGAATTAAAAGCCATACCTGTACGGCCCTACTAAAAGTGTATGGAAGATTGGGTTAAGCGTTGGCATATGTGTATCGCTTCAGAAGGAGCATATTTTGAAGGAGATAAAATATGCAAACAATGCATCTTCTCTTTGGTTGTTCGGCTCTCTCAAAAATTCCAGTGAAATTTGAACTAAAGTAAGTTGTTTATTTATAATATTAAACTTTGAACTCCAGTTCTGCATTTTTGTGAATATCCACAGTATGAAATAAATTAAGAACTCTATCTCTAATATATATATTAATACTGTCAATTTTAATATCCTTGTCTATATTCAAATTTTTTGCATTCCATGGAGCTGTCTTCTCTCTTATATGCTCGTTCCACCATAATTTTTTGTTGGAAGTTAGCAAGATAGTTTACATGGAACTTCCACTCGATGGAAAACTTGTTTGTTAACAGTTTTTTTGATCATTGAATTATTTTCCTGGTTATAAATATGATTTAAGTTGTTTCTATTTTGACTTTCATTTACTACTTATTAAAATATCGCCTTATCTCATCTATATATGCGTTTGTAAATTGTTTGTGATGAACTCCGTCTTTTTATCGTGCTGCCTGTTGCAAATATCACCAGCAAACAAAGATAATGTGTTTCTGTACCTAATTGAAAATTTAACTGTAATTCGATCCATCTTTATTGTAGAGCAGTAGTTTTTGATTTCTACTTTAAAGTTCCGGTTATACAGGAAATTATTGATAACTTCGATTAGATCATTTGGAAAATCATATTTTCTAAGTTTAATTTGTTAGTCGTGCATGTCACACTTTATAGGTAGAAAGTTTTGGCAATGTTGAACGTTGCCGTATGTCTCCAGTTTAAAATAATATACCATTTTTCTTTCTGACTCCGAATATATGATAATTATAGCAGATTGCTGTAGGAAAGGTCTCATACTCATCGTTTTTGAAATCAATGAGTAGTAAAATATATCGGTATATAGTGTAGAGAAAAAGTTGCTCAAAAAGTAGAAACAATTGCTCTATTTAAATTTATATATAATGTCATTTTCTAATTATCATTTTCTATATGAAAATGATAATTAACATATAGCTGATTGCTGTAGGAAAGTTTCCAAACTCGTTGTTTAGATAATCAATAAGTAGTAAAATATATCGGTATATAGTGTATAGAAAAAGTTGCTCAAAAAGTAGAAACCATTGCTCTATTTATGGTAAGTACATTATAAGATGGTTTGTTTGAGAAATCGGAATCATTCCAAATACTCAGTTAAGTATGGATTTGATGACAAATAGATAGCCGTATGTATTTTTTATTATATAAAAATATAATAATTTCAAATGATATATTTTTCACATCGTGTTTTAAAGATAATGGACTTGACATAGTTTTTTTTTTGTAGTACTTCCATTACGAATTAATTTTTATTGGTTATGGCGCTATCCTCTTTCTTTCACTCAATTAGAATATTATTTGTAATATCTCTTTGTAAATAATCAAGTCTTAGAATAATTATACTTTATATAATTGAACTTTATATAATTGATGTTTAGTTTTTTAAGTAAAGGATTAGTACGATTACTAAACCTCAGATTGCACTGAATTTAAATGTACATATAAATGTAAAAATGAATTTCAATCAATTGTTAATGTGATTGCAGTTTTGGTTATTGGCTTTATAAGTTAATAAAAATTTAATATTTTAATTTGTGTTATATTAAATATTTATTTAATTTCTGATTTTATATAAATAATTCTTATTTACTCACTTTTGGTTGAGGAAACTTTGCAGAATATTCACTTGAGCATTGATGTTGTCTGTTCCAACAGCCCAACCAGGTATTTGCCTTGGTTGTTGCATGTTTGCACTTGAAAGCAGTTGTAAATTTGCTCTAATTATTGTTTATTTGCATATTTAAAATATAAATTGTATATTTATTGTGTTATTTTCCATTTATTTCAAATAGTAAATAAAAATAATTGCGAACACTTATTTAAAATAATTTGCAATTTTTTTAAAAGAAATACAAAACTCTTGGAAAATTTCTTCAAGCAAAAAATATTTATGTAAATAATTCAATGCAGTCTATTTTGTGAATTTACAAATTAAATTAATATTTAAATTTTATTTAGTGTTAATACGAATTATATTATATATATATATATCTACGAGTCTTTATCAGGGTTTTGTCAGAAAATAAACTAATCTAATCTAATTTTCATAATCCTTAATTAATATTGCATACTCACGCATATAAAGGATAATCATAATTAAATTTGCCAAAATCTAAATCAATTAAATTATTTTAATACTTTTTGATATTTTATATAAAATTTTAATTATTTTTGCTGTCAATAGCATAACGCAGATACCAGCACAATCAAGTGGTTCACGTGCTAAAAATCCTTTTAATGCCTTATTAAAATCTCACCATGAAATCGATGCCATTTAAAACAATAAACGGGTTAACAATTATGAGTGGGCAATTTAAAATAAATTATTTTAAATGTTTGATTTTATAATAAAATTGGTTTTTATCACGTCAGTTTAGCTTTTATTTATATATTTGCATTAAGTAGTCGGCTTCACAGAGTAAACCCGCTTTTGAGATATGAAAGATTCAAATAAATCGGATAGTAAAATCTCAGTTTATGATGAAACGGATGATATTAAACATTCAGATGAAAATAAGTTAAACTCGATAAAAAGTAAAAATGTGAAGAAAAATAAAGAAGAGACGTTTCATCGAGCGATTGCACCAGGTAAGGTTCTTTATGAGAAATTTCTATTTATAATGGTGATATGTAAAGTTTATGGTTCGACTACAAAAGGAACTTTCGATAGAAAAAAAAAATTTGTTGTTACAAAGGGTACATTTTATAAAGTACATGTAAAATAATTAATCCATCCCGATAAAGGATAAGTTACAGTGGTTTTTATAAAATATTATTTTAATATTATTAAAACAATGTACAATAGAAAATATGCAGGGAGTTAAGATATGTATAATATTAATATGAAATTTGGGTAGCGTTAAAAACTATGAATGGGGTTAATTAATCACAACCGCCTATCACCTATAAAACTATATATTCCACAATACTTCGAATTGACAAAAAAGATTTCCCTACGTTGATAAAACATTCCTTGTTAGAAACAAGAACAACCTCAGTTGTCAACCAAAAAACAGTTGGATAAGTTTCACGCTAAATTGATACTGTAGCTGTACAGTACCTAGATGCTACGAGGGCGGTTTGTTAAGTCAGTAACTTTTTGAATAAAACAAATTTATTCGGCAAATAAACATATTATTTTTCTACATAATCACCTTTTATCTCGATACATTTAGTCCAGCGTTTTTCTAATTTTCCTATTCCCTCCAAATAATAGGTTTTCTCAAAGTTCTCAAAATAAGCGTTTGTTTCGGTAATAACTTCTTCATTCGACTCAAATCTCTTACCGCCCAGCCGTTTTTTTAGGTTTGGTGACAGAAAATAGTTGCAGGGGGCTAAATCTGAAGAATATGCTGGATGGGGTAGCAGTTCGTATCCCAATTCGTGGATTTTGGTTACGAATGCTTAATCAGCACACGAAATTCACTTTTTTCCATTTTCGTAAAAATTAACGAGGTTGTCTGCTTTGAACGGCTATCAAACACCTACTGAACGACGTAGCTTGCTCAAAATTAGAAAGTTGCCCACTGGTTGATTACAGCTGACGGCAGCACTGTTGCATTTGGAGTAACTGCGCGGGAAATTCAAAAAGCCACTGACTTATCAAACCGCCCTCGTATTATCATCATCAACCATAGCTACAGTCCATGTAGAACCTAAGCTTGTTTTACGACATTTCTCCATTCTTCTTTATTTTAGGCTTTTATTTTCCACTTGATAACAATTATATCTGTCAGATATTGTCGAACACTGTCAATTCATCTATTTCTCGTTGTTTTGACTTCGAAGATTTTGGCTGCTGCTCTTTCTTCTGGCACCCAAATGCTATGAATATCAAAATAAGTAAAAAATCCGTAAATCTCTAACATATTTTAAATAACCACAAATTGAAGTTAACAAGTATTTCCCATAAAGCTAATAAAAAAAAGGTGTGGACTATATTTAATAAAAATATTCATTCATGAGAAAGCCATTGACAATATGTGCGCCGCGTTTACTGAAAAGGGATCAAAATTATTAACTAATTTTGCTTCTAGATTGGTCTTTTCAACAGAGTATCTGATTCTCTCTCGAAGCTCGTATATTGTAGTAAAATCAGAGTTTCCACATTAATTTTTATTTGGCTGTATGGTGTTCTCAGTATAATGGAAAAGCAATTGAAACTGCTATATAGCAATTATTCTGGAAGCGGTGGTCTTACGAATACATCAAAGACCAATACTACTATCTATTTGCAAAGCGTGAAAGGATGTTTCGGCATATATTATTTGACACGAATAAAGAAGGGAATGAAGAAATAGATATGTCAGAAAATTGGTTAATTTATTATTTTATGGATTAGAAAAATATTGACGAATAAATTCAAATGTTGAACAAAATAAAATATTATATGTCTCACCGAAAATTTTACAGCCCATCATATAGTAATTTTTTTAATGTGTATTATTTATTATAAATTTGTTCCTTTCATTAGTTTTGATAATGGCTCAGTGCTTTGGTGTTATGCCTGTAGAAAATATCCGTCGTCCTGATTCGTTACATTTAAACTTCTCATATAGATCAATTCAAACTTGTGTAACAGTATTGTATATGGGGCTCAGTTCTATCATGTTGCTTGGCCAAATAAAACATGTTGTCAATATTGGTATAAATGCAAAAAACTTTGGTAAGTAGCACAATAAAAATGATTAAAAAAAATTGTAAGATTATGAACCCATTTTTATTCTCATTAATGCAAGAAATTTATTTTATATTTATTTCATATTTATTTAATTATAAGTGAATGTTAAAGTAATAGTGGATATTTGAATAGAGAAAAAAGGTCAATTCGTAACTAAAATTACTAGTCATAGATTTACAACTATGATTAAGATTAACAACTGAATCGTTTATAGACGAACTACTCCAATTTAGATTAACCACTTAAGTATAATCGTTAATCTATGGTTACATTAAGTACATAATCTATAGCTAGCTTAACTACGTAATCAATGGCTAGATTAACTGCGTTATATAAGACTTGATTACCTATTTAATCTATGACTAGAATAACTACTTAATCTATGAATAGATAAACTACTTAATCTATGTCTAAATTAAATACGTAATATAAAGCTTGATTAACTATTTAATCAATGACTAGATTACCTACTTAATCTATAATTAGATAAAGCTCTTAATCAATGACTAGATTAACTACTTAATCTATGAATAGATAAACTACTTAATCTATGTCTAAATTAAATACGTAATATAAAGCTTGATTAACTATTTAATCAATGACTAGATTACTTACTTAATCTATAATTAGATAAAGCTCTTAATCAATGACTAGATTAACTACTTAATCTTTGATTAGATAAACTACTTAATCTTTGATTAGATTAACTACTTAATCTCTAATTAGATTAACTACTTAATGATTACTTAATGATGATTAGATTAACTACTCAATCTATGGCTAGATTCTATATAATCTATTGCTAGATTAAATACATAATCTATGGTTCGAATGACTACATAATTTATGGCCAGATGAACTACTTAATCTTTAGCTAGCTAGATAAACTACTTAATTTTGGCTAGATTAACTACTTAATCCATTTCTAGATTTATTACTAAATCTATGGCTAGATTAACTACTTGATCTATGGCTAGATTAACTACTTAATCAATTCGCTAGATTAACTAGTTATTCTATTGGTTTGATTAATTATTTAATCTTAATCTTAATCTATAGATTTATTCTGTTACTTAAGACTGAATTTCTTCACTACTAGTGGCTTTTAAACACTAATGGTCCAAAAAATATCATATCGTATTGACCAATATTATTTTATGGAAGTATATTAGCACCAATAACAGTCCTGGGCTGCAACACGTATTGAGTTTACATTACTTTAAGATGAGTTTATATTTTTTAGGATTATGCACTTATATATATGGTGTTATAGTATGTGTTAAAAATATCTTCGGCAACAAATAAATTTTTTTATAATTATTTTATTTTTAATAAATACTCTATTATTATAGTTGGCGTGGTTTTCTTCTCTAATGTACAGTGCGGTTGGTTTTTCTTTTTTCTATTGGCTAAAAAATGGCCAATAGTAATACGTTTCTGGACAGAGACTGATTCGATATTTACTAGTAAATTATACGAGATTCCCAAAAGAAATTTATCCAGTCGCCTTCGATATGCAGCCGTGGTTACTATGCTATTATCTCTTTGTAAGTAAAAATATTTTATTTAAAAATAAAATTTCAATAATTTTAGAGAATTTAAAAATAAATAATGATAATTAAAATCTTTTAATATTTTTAGTGGAACATGCATTCTACTTAAGTTCCGCGGTTACAAGTTACATTCATCATGCTAAATTGTGTCCGAATACTTTGAATACAACGAGAGAAACAAATTTTGCAGATTTCATACAACAAAACTACGATTATGTTTTCCGGATTGTACCATATAGTCTATTTTTTGGTGTCTATGTAATGGTTAGTAGTAAGTAGTAATATACTTTACTGTTAGTTAATAAGTATTAATAGAAATTTGGCTAAAATTATAAAGGACTAAATAACTTATTTTGTATTGCTTTCTGCTATGAACAATTAGTGGTCCAGTTTTCAGTATATTTGAATTTGTGGTTCGATCGGTATAATAAATCGTACTATTCTTTTCGTTTTAACGCACCTTTTTACATGGAGTGTTAAAGATCTTATGAAGTTCTATCCAATGTGAAAACACTTTGACAGTTTTAGTGGGTTGACATATGTTCGTAACTGTTTGTACATTATTTTTGAAAGAAATTTAATTATTTAATCTATGGTTATATGAATACTTATTTTTTTTAAATAAATTTAAAACTTATTTTTGAATCAAAAAGAACTCATACACCTTTAATACGCCATATAACTTAGCTATATATAATATTTCCTTTATTAAATTTTTTTTTGGTGTAATTCTGTTAGTTTTGTACCGCTTTTACACAAGTTCTACAATTGTCTACTCTATAGTTCTCTATTTACTCCAGTTTCTCTTATTCTAGTTTTATTAGGTCTGTCTACTTTCTAATATTTGTTAACCGAAATGTTTGTTTTAGTCTTATACCATGTTTTCCATTAATTTTGGTTCGCTTTGTTGGTTTGAGGAAGTCATATTTAGAATCACGCAGCATTATGTATTCTTTCTATCCGAGATACTTTTGGAATACTTTGGTTGCACCTATCCTTAAAGGCTTGTAGTTTTTTAATGGATTTTATTTTCAGTCTCCAGGCCTCCACACTATACAATAAAGAATAATATACGTATATTTGAGAAATTTAGATATTTACTTTATATTTAGATATTTAATGCAAAGTACTTTTCTACAATTCTTAAAAGCTTTTTCTGCAGATATCCTGCGAATTTCTTTATCATTCTGTCAGTTATCACACTTATTTCTAATTATAATAGAAATATATTTTATAACACAGATTTAGTTATACATAACTTAGAGTGGCGCTCGAACTCCTCAAAGCCCACTTAAGGTTAAACAAAACCCCGTTCTGAGATTAATGTATAGGAAGAATTATAAAAGGATTGAAATAATGAATGTTATGTTATAGTTGCTTTGATTTGCTATAAATTGTAATTCATAATTTTTTCATAATGTCATATTAAATGATTTATTTATTAAACTTATTTAACGTTCCTTGATTAGGTTCTATACATAAGAAAGAATATATAAATCATGCAACAAATAATGCCTCTTCAAACAAAATAGTATTGTAATTTAACAATTAAAAATAAAAATATGATTAATTAAATTAATTATTCTACAGCTGGCTTATGATTTCATTCTAGTATAAACAGAGCAAGTTAATTTGTTAATAAAAGTTTCACAGCGAATTAACAAAACTTAAGGAGCGCTGACTCTGAGCTTCAAATTTGGCAGGGCATGAGTTCGATTCCTGGTACTTGCAGTCTCAAAAAAAATTATTTTCGAATAATTAAATACAAGTATTATTTCCAAGACCAGTGATGATGGGTACTTGTCAATACTCGAAACAGTTGTATGGTCACCCGAAAATTCAATTAATTAAAATAATATAAAATGAATTTTTGTTGTTGTGATTCACTACTTTTCGAAAAGCCTATTTTATTAAACTTATTTATATAACTTAAATAAAATATCCTTAATGATTATTTTACTGTTTTTTTGTAGGTAACCAATTTCGCTTGCACTTTTGTTTGGAATTACATGGATTTATTCATCATGCTGATAAGCAAAGGAATCGCTTATCGTTTCGAGCAAATTTCAAAGCGTATAAATAAATTAGCTGATAAGGTAAATATACTGTGCAAACAGGATTAAAATTAACATATTTTACAAATGTAATTTTAAATTTGTTGTCTTAAAAATTAACACTAATTTAAGGAAGTACCAGAAGCAACGTTTACTGAAATACGTGAGCATTATGTTAAACTTTGTGAACTGCTGGATTGTGTCGATGAGAATTTATCAGCAATTATATTGCTATCCTGCATGAATAATTTGTACTTTATTTGTTATCAGTTGTTAAATATATTCAAGTTAGTATAAAAATGTTAAGCTAAATGAAATACAAATATTGTTATAACTACTTCAGCAAGTTACGTTGGCCCATTAATTACATTTACTTCTGGTATTCGCTGCTGTTCCTTATGGGCCGCACAGCTTTCGTATTTTACACAGCTGCAACCATTAATGATGAATCCAAAGCGGCGTTGGGTGTATTGCGACGTGTTCCCATGAAATCTTGGTGTGAAGAAGTATAGTTTATTGTGCATTTTATTATGTATAAATAATATTTTTATAATAAATGGTATTAATTAGGTGGAACGATTAATATACGAGATGACTTCACAGACTGTTGCACTATCTGGAAAGAAATTTTATTTTCTTACTCGTAAATTATTGCTTGGAGTAAGTATTGACAGCAGTTTATAAACAAAAACTATTTTATTAAAATTGAAATTATGTTTTACTTTTTAAATAATAAATAAAAATTTTTGACAGATGGCAGGTACTATAATTACTTATGAACTAGTATTGCTGCAGCTTGATGAACCATCTCGTAAAAAAGGGCTAGCTCCTTTGTGTGGTTAAAAATAATTTGAATAAATAAAAAATAAATAAAGTTTGTTTTCTTAAACTAAAAAATTTTTTAAATAAGTAAATAAAAACTTAAAAAAACTTTCATATTTCATAATTATTTTTTTATAAATTTTTAATTATAATGATTTCAAGAATGGTTATCGGTTTTGATATTAAAATAGGGCTAATAGTGAAGAAAAAACTATAATTTAATTCCTTTATTTGACAAACTAATAAAATAATGATATAAGATACTGTCAAACAACCATCATCGTGTTTCATTCAGATGAGGTAGTTGCCGTCAACAGGTAGAGGGCTACAGACATTAGGACTACTTTTTTCTAAAAATTTCTAATGCAGTTTCATCATTTTGTGATAGCGTCCATATTTCTGTGCGAAACTGAATAAAAGATAGGATTATTCGTACGTTTTATCGGCCAAGAAAGAGCTCTAAATCCCAATAACCACAGTAGCATCTGTTGGTAATGTAAATTCTTTGTATGATTTCAGATTTCAGATTGCCATTATTATAGTTGGTTATAGTTGGCGATGTTAATATAAATAAAATTCTTAACAACTTCGCCAACCACTACCTTAGCATACAAGTGACTGATATTTTTGTCAGTAACCGATATATATTTCGGTTTGGCTTCAGTTACCACTATTTCTATTTTTGCAAATTCTTTTGGATAACAGCAAAGCCAATAGTAATATCACGGTTAATGATTAATTATGTAGATGTTCTCTGCATATCAGGGATCTGGGCCTATTTGTAAAATATTGTGCCGTTACAATGAACACCACGCAGGATGATTTCCATGATGAAATGGAAACCTTATTTGAAGCTTCGTATGAATATTCGTAGCGACACGTCCTTGGAATGTTGTCTTTACTTAACAACTACAAGGATCGTTAGGAAAGTTATGCAGATCAGTCAGCTTACCTTTCACTTTTCGAATAGCGGAAAATTTATTTTGTTCTTTAATTATCCTATAAATTATTTTTTTTTACTCATTTACTACTACGTTATTCGTTAAATTAGTTAACTTCTAGCTTTCTTAATCAACGTCGTTCCAAAGTTAACAGCATCAATTGTAATGAAATTTTAAATTGTCCACACCTACGGCATACGCCACTCATGGAGGTACAATAATTTAGGGGGCTTTTTCAAAAATTTATTTTAATACATATTTTTTTAAAATCTTATCTTGTGGATCATAGATATTGGTTTACTTTCTTTGTGAAGGTTCGACAGTTGTCACACTCATTATCTCAGCTCTGAATAGATTTAATATAGTTTTATCTCCTTTATTGGTGATTATTTTTAATAAATCAGTATAATAAAAAAATGGAAATGTTTACCAAAATATGGAGTCTGTTTCTACTCAAACAAAACGATAGTTTTTTGTACTGCCTCCATGATAAGTAAAAAAATCCATTGAAGCCGACTGCTCATAGACCATCCACAGCAGTGACGACTGCTCTAAGGTGCGGAGGTGTGCGGTGAACACCCTAATATAATTTGCAAAATGTTAAATAACATAGGTATATAAATTTATTAAGTATCTTTACATCAAGAATTATTATTATTTATTACATTTCCATATAAATATATATTTTTAAAGTTTTAGCAAAAACAATTAAATATAATTGTCTATGAAAACTCAATTAATTTGCTTCTGTTAGCCGCTATACTTGTTAGTTGTGCTCACATATTTGCAGCTCAAATCACAGAACATTTCTATTATATTTCGTCTCTCCCCTTTGTGTGCAAAGAAGTTGGTCGCACATTCATACGTTACATATGAACAAAATAATGTGCGTCTGCTCCCGTTCATAATATCAGCAATAGAGATTTATATAGTGGGAATTGTATGAGAGTAATTTTCTGTTCTATTCGAATATCAACTGCATGCATACGAATCCAACATGATGATTTGCCAAAGTGGTTGCATGAGCGGCTAAAGTTTGCAGCTCATATCACCATACATTTCTATCACATTTCGTCTCTCCCCTTTTAACAGCAGCACCAACGAATTTCTGTTCTTATTGTGCGGGGTACTTGTGCGCACATTGCAAGTGGTTTCGATTTTGTTTGATCACTGCACAAACATGTATGTTTCTAAGTACAAACTCTTTTGTTTGAAAAAATTTGGTTTGATGTTACGAGAATTATGTGAAAAGTTTTGTTTCTTCCATATTGATATAATATTAAACTTGTATATAAATTATTAATTTAATTTGTTTAATATGTTATTTTGTTAATGAATTGTTAATATAATATTGCGCGAATATATTGTTGCCTTATATAATATAGTTATTATTAATAAAAGATCTCATATATTTTAATATAAGTGGTACATGTAAAAACAACATTAAAGAAGGGCCGCACACCCTTCCAGATAGGGCACGCGTCGTCACTGATCCACAGTTACTTTTTATTAATTCGGCAAGTATATAATATATGTAATAAATAAGTATATGAATATATATGACAATATGTATAGGTTAACAAAATCATACAATATATACAATATAATACATGTTTAACAAGGTAATGCAATACATAAAGGTATATGTTAACAAGCTATTTTCTCAACGTTTAGAGCTCCTCGTAAATAAACATACAATTTAATACTTAAATCGTGTCTCATAAAATCTAAAATTGAAGACGTGGCAACTATTTTATTAACGTCAATACAGTTCAGCAACATTTTATTTCTCATTGTGCCAAAGTAACATTGTTGACCAACGGATGAAATCCTTAATCGCGTACAGAGAAATACAGTTGAAGTTAATTTACCGAAAAATATAAAAAGTTACAGTTTTAGGTGGTAACCTGAAGTAAAAAGTAATGTTTATTGCTTTTGGATTAAAAGTGTAGGATGAGCAGGTAATTCAATTGACATTATGAACTAAATAAGTTTTTAATAGAGTTACGAGTAGAATTTAACCAAATGTTTGAACTAAAAATTACTTCGTATTATTCCGGTAGATTGGATTTCTTGGATAATCAATTTTAGCATCTCATACATTCTGCTCAAAAAGTACCCGAATTTTGTTAACTACTCCTTAAGTAAAAGATCTTTTTAAAAATTTTTTTTTGTTATGTTGATATACCCTTTCTTGACATATGGTAAAAATGAGCGTCATCTGTCAATTAGTTTGTTTACAGCAGCTGTTAATGTGAGACTACCACAAGTGCATTTTGCGATTTTTACTATGGAAACTTCATACGTTGAAGCATTGAAAATGGTGCAGAAAGCTTACGGGGACTCTTCTATGTCTCGAACACAGGCATACAAGTGGTATAAATCCTTCAAAGAGGGTCGTGAAGTGATCAAAGATTTGCCTCGTTCTGGACGTCCATCAACATCAAATACCGAAGAAAACGTGGCAAAAATCAAGAAAATTGTGCTGGAAGATCGTCGTATGACTAAAAGGGAGATTGCTCGTGACTTAAACATCTCAAATGGATCCGTTTACCACATTCTACATGATATATTGGGCATGAGACGCGTTGGAGCTCGATTTGTACCGAAACATCTTGATTTTTTGCAAAAAGTATACCGTAAAAACGTGTGTGAAGAAATGATTTTTGAGCAAGGAAACAACTCTACATTCATGAAACGCATCATAACAGGTGATAAGACACGGGTTTATGAGTATGACGTTGAAACCAGTCAACAATCGAGCGAATGGTGCTTCGAAAACGAGCTAAAACCTAAAAAACCGCGCAAAAGTCGCTCGAAAATTAAAGTTATGCTCACTGTTTTTTTCGACTACAGAGGTGTTATTCATTATGAATTTTTGCCAGAGGGTCATACCATCAATAAAGAATATTACCTCGGCGTTATGCGGCATTTGCGTAGTCCATCCGTAAGAAAAGACCAGATTTGTGGAAAGCCAGCAATTGGATTCGTCACCACGATAATGCTCCATCGCACACGGCTCTTGTTGTACGCGATTTTTTGACCAAACACGGTACTACTGTCATCGCTCAGACACCATATTCGCCACATCTGGATCCGTGCGACTTTTTCCTGTTCCCGAAACTCAAATTGCCCCTTCGTGGTAAGCGTTTTGAGTCGATTGAATCGGTAAAAGAGAATTCGGAACTAAAGGAATTAAAAGCCATACCTGCACGGGCCTTCGAAAAGTGTATGGAAGATTGGGTTAAGCGTTGGCATATGTGTGTCGCTTCAGAAGGAGCATATTTTGAAGGAGATAAAATAAATTTGGAAAAAAATTTAAATTTGTGTTTTATTTACAAAATCTGGATAATTTTTGAGCAGAAGGTATACTTACTTAATGTATACTTAATGGTATTTCCGACGTTTCCTTTAATGCGTTACTAAAATCTTGGCAAACCTTATATACCCTTATTACATTTGTTCGTGTGCAGGATATAAAAAGATGTTAGTAGGGGCCCCTTTGTTATAATTTGCTTATGTACTTACGCTACCGACGCTTAACTTGTTAGTTGTTATCTTCTATGCCTTTAAGTAGTTCCATATTTGAAATTTTACGTGGCCATCAAATTCTCAATATATTACGTAGGTTTTTATTGGTAAAACTTTGAAGTGTTCTTTGAATTTCACTATTGAGCAACCAAGTTTCGGATCCATACAATAGGACTGATTTTACAAAGGCATTGTGAACATGGGTTTTTGTTTGAGGAGATATTTTATTTGAGTTCTATACACTACAAAAATTACTGAACGCTATTCTGACTTTTGATATTTTGCTACCCTGTTCCTAAAATGGTGCTGTAAAATACAACAGATATGACTTCATATGATCAAAAAATCAACAGAAAAAAATCAATATCTGTAAAAAGACTTCGTTTCGAATAGATAATATCTGTATAAGTAGTCTACTATATTTTCAATATTTTGGACAGTCATCTGGTGATCTTACTAGACATATGATAGCTCACTTCTTTTGATTTAATAACAATAATAAATAATGAGAATAGACACCATGTTATTATTAATAATGTAAATATTCCAATTAAATTTCTTTATACATATATGTATGGAATGGAAGTAAACTTAAATTGATAAATTCTGATAAACATAATTAACAAATTTAGTAAACTTGCTTGTTTTGCTTTAAACTTATCGAACTAAAGTGAAGTGTTCTTTTTATACACGCTAACGTGCAAATTTTTATAAATGTAAACAGGACACGCTATTTAAAAGGATAATGAAACAGGTCGCCAATGTAATTGACATCCTTTAACAAGGATTTTTTTTTATTAAATACTTCAATGAAATTTTGCAACGTGGGCACTATCTACAACTATTAATTAAATAGTATTTACCATTGAATTTCGCACTGTTTACTTCAGTTCCTTATTTACACAATGTGACGAGTTGATGTGGTAAACATGGCTCTTAGAAATGGTATTTACTATTAGGCAATATACTTTATTTTGGTTTATGAAAAGCACATATACGTTATTGAATTAAGTGAAGGAATGATGGTCAGTCGTAATAAGTTAAGAAAAATTTTTAGTAAACATCAACCAATTTTTGGCAATAATACAATATTTAAAGTCAGGAATAATATTTACAATCTTAATAAAGTACACGCAGCAACAAGAACAACAATCGATAATAATTCAAAAGATCCATTAGAAACTACAACAACCATAGCAGAATACTCAATCTCTCAGGAAAAATATATTAGTAATGACAATATTAATGCAATTGAACAAAAAGATGATGTCTCTGATATATTTCATCGTGCAGTATATCCTAGTGAGTTTAATCACTTATTATTATTATACGAATATAATAATTTTATTTAAAATCTATTTATATATATACTTTTCTATATTTGTACCGACTTTTTAGTTATAATAATTGCTCAATGTTTTGGTGTAATGCCTGTCATGGGAGTGCGTCATAAAAATCCACGTCGAATGCGGTTTTCCTTTATTTCCATGCAATTGCTCGTTACTCTAATCTATTTTGGCACTACCATATTACTTCTAGTATTTATGGTTAGACATCTCTGGTTTGTTGGTATAGATGCTAAAAATATTGGTTTGTATTAAATGTAATTGATATGTTTTTTAAGAAATTCTATTTAAATTTTAGGAGGTGTTATATTTTACATAAGTGCATTTTTAGCTTATGTTCTATTTATGCTACTCGCTGCAAGGTGGCCAAAATTAATTAGAGTCTGGGCTCGTAGTGAAATGACGTTTAACCAAAAGCCATACGAGATCTTGCCTAAAAACTTAGCGGTACGAATAAGAACTGCTGCTACCATCATTATTATTTTATCTGCTGGTAAGTTCTTTGACTTTTAATGTTATATCAGGGTATACAGGGTATTCGCTTCCATAGAATAAAATTCGGGAATTCGTTTTAAAGATTAGAGCTATATTATATAGTCAGTCATAATTACGTTAAAAGTGAAAAACTTGCTTTTTTAAATGGAAATTAAAAAATTTAGCACAAGAGAAAGAGAATAATGTATCTTAAAATTTGGTCAAAACCGCATTACTCAGGAATAATGCCAGAACTTCTGTCTATGAGAAGTAAATATACGTATACAACAATTGTGATCATGACCAATTGTGATCATGGCTGTTTGTTTAATATAGCCCTTACAGGCAAACGGTGCATGATAGAAGGAAGATATGATGCACAAAAATGATCAATAATTTTTCAAAAAACAATAAATATCAAGTATTATTAGCTCGCAATGGACCTTGAATACAAACTATCTATGTGTCTTTTTCAATACTATAAAAATATACAAATTTCTTTATTAGTACTGATGCAAGCAAATCTTCTTCTCTTTCTTCTTATTTGGCACTACAGTCCAGTATGAACCTCACGATCTGCTTCCATCTGTCCCTATCTTCTGCTACTCTCTTCCAGTTCAGTACTCCAAATTTCTTTATTAGTACTGATGCAAGCAAATCTTCTTCTCTTTCTTCTTATTTGGCACTACAGTCCAGTATGAACCTCACGATCTGCTTCCATCTGTCCCTATCTTCTGCTACTCTCTTCCAGTTCAGTACTCCAAATTTCTTTATTAGTACTGAGATGCAAGCAAATATAATATTAAAATCTTAAATTTTTTGTTTTGCAGTGGAACATGGTCTATCGGTGGCTTCAAATGTTTTAAATTATACACGAAAAATTGAGATTTGTGCAGCTGCACTAAATACATCTGCTAAAAGTTCCTTTGATGATTTTATTAAACAACACTATGTATTTATTTATTCCATGATACCATATAATATATACGGAGGAGCATATATAATGGTAATTAACATCTTTAATTATTCCTAAATAAAACTTTTTCTGCACTTATTGTTATGTGGATTGGCACGTTGTGATTAAACTTCCTTTATAGATTACGAAGATTAAAGAAAATCTTCGTAGAGTGTTAATTTTTAATACAGGTGAAACATGTGATTTTTGTTTGCAAGTTATATTTAAGATAAATATCAGGCTTCTATATCTGTTATATATAATGTATATATACATATTTATATATAAGCCAAATATTATCGTCTTTGTTCAGTCTCTACAATTTTGAAAACGACTTTAACATTACTTGAAAACTTTGGATCTTATATATAGACTGATTGGATAAGAAATATATGAAGGACTGTTTAAGTTTCAGCAAACCTGGAGTTCACTAGGTCATGAAGAGGTAATAGCAAACTGTGTTGGTTGTAGGACGTAGTAATGGCAAGCATAGTAGTGGTATCACACACTCAGTTAATAGATAGTTTTAAATATCTATTGTTTGAGGCTCTATGAAGGTCGGAGTGTTACGTTGATTTTTAAGCAGGAGATTGTATTAGTAGATAGTGGAGACGTTAATAGGACGAAAAAGAGGTGGAATTTAATGACTTTCTTTGTCTAAATTATAAAGTACCAATTAAAAAATATGTTTTGCTTAAATGAAATAGTAATTTATGTTTTTACTATTGCTAATTTTTTGTTATATAAATTTAACTAAATATTTGACTATTTATTATAATACGGTCAAAGACCAACTGGCACTGCAAAAAGCATTTTTAGTGGACTCAAAAGATCAATTTAATCAAAACTAAGAAACGAACTCAATAAAATGTATTGGAGAAAACAATAACAGCTGTAGTCAGATATAAATTAATGTGGACGAGATTATTGCTTCACTAATTTGGCATAAATAACGAAGGTGCACTCATCAGTTTTCTTAACCCCACCTGGAAGATCAAATTATTTAACGAAGATATAAAAATAACAACGGTTAATGTAGTTTGAACACCACCACCGGGTGATTTTGATGACATCACTATGGACGATAATTGATAACGATAGAAAGTGTTGTTCTTGTAATCCTAACCTAACCTAAAGGTTTTAAGCAGGCGAAAGAATCGATGCGTCAGCTAGATTACACACTGATTTCTCAAAGCTGCTTAAAGCATCAATAAAGTATCGATGCCATTGTGATTCTTCTGGTACTCATGCCACTATAAACTGCTGGGTTATTATAATATTTATTTTCAAAAGTATCACCAAACTATTTTAGCAACTTGGTATTTATCTTATATTCGATATACGTAATATACTATATTTTCAATTTATCTTAAAGTATCTATACCAAGAAATGAAGCTTTAATGTAATAAATTATTAATATTTTTTTTTGCTTCTGTTATTCCTATTAACTTATTTTTGTTGCATACTTAAGCTAATACATGGAGCATGTACATTTGTTTGGAACTACATGGACCTCTTTATTGTGATGATAAGCAAAGGCATCGCTTATCGATTCGAACAAATAACAACGCGGATCAATAAATTGGCGGGCAAGGTAAGCTATTCCCAAATTGGTGATTTGTGCCGCAGGTTGACAATTTTCTGATTAATATGTCTACACTTCTGTAATGTTTATTTCCACTTTCTCTCAAAAAACAACAATCGTCGGCTTCCAAGGAGATACCTGAGGACACTTTTGCTGAGATACGTGAACATTATGTGAAAGTGTGCGAATTGTTGGATTATGTAGACGATAATTTATCGGGCATTATTCTGTTGTCCTGTGCAAATAACTTGTATTTTGTGTGCAATCAATTGTTGAATGTTTTTAAGTAAGTTGTATTTTTTTAATTTATTAACAAAATATTATTTTATCCTTCGCTTACAGCAAGTTGCGTTGGCCTATTAATTATATTTATTTCTGGTATTCATTGCTGTATTTAATTGGACGAACGGCTTATGTTTTCCTTACAGCGGCATCTATTAATGATGAGTCCAAAGCTGCGTTAGGTGTACTACGGCGAGTTTCTAAGACAACATGGTGTGTAGAGGTAAATACTAATTAGAATTTCATAAAATCTACTGGAAACAAAATATTGTTACATTTTTATATATTTTAATAGGTGGAGCGATTAATATTTCAAATGGCAACACAGACAGTAGCTCTATCAGGCAAAAAGTTCTATTATTTAACACGAAAACTATTGTTTGGGGTGAGTATGTTAAATAAAGTATAAAGATTAGAAAAAGATTTATGAAGAGATCTAAATTGATGTATACTTATATTAAAAAGATATTATGATCTGAATTGTAAATGTATACTTAAACAACTGGTTAAGAAGGATTGAAAGTTATATTTCATTACATATAGTGGATAATAATAGACATAAGAAACTATTATACGTAGATAAGAACACTGTGTTTCACTATTTTCAACTTTATTTGCTTTTTGATTTTACTATAAAGTTTCTGTATTTCATCTAAGAAAAATTCTGGTCCAATGGGCTTAATTTAAAAGTGATTTATGTTACCTTTTTTTCCACTACTTTTGCAAGTGAAATTAAATTATATACACCAACGATATGTTTCGAAAAACAGCGGACTTGAAATTTACTTTACATATATGTTTTTTTCTGGTAACTTGATCGCAATGATCCATAGAATCGCTTTGGAAATAAAGGGGGAAAAAGGACTCGCCGTATTCTATATGCAATTATCATTCTATATGAAAAATAGGTTGTTAATTAAAATATTCGTATCGTTGTATTCCTACAATTATTTATTATGAAATTAAAAAAAAAAATCAAACAAATAATCTTCTATTAATTTGACAAAAATCACAAAATAAATTTATGCTTTATAGATATAAATGTAAATCCAGTAAAACTTCTATATATTGCATGTGCTCCATAACAATGTTCTAAAAATTTGAATATGAAAGATACTTATACCTCAGATACCTTTCACTGAAAAAGTTAATGAAGTTATGGAAAAAATTCTAGAACTCCAGCGTGCGAGTAGTCACGATTTCGAAGATCAGTGATTACAAAAGAAAACACAAAAATTAAGCGACATTATATATAATAAACTCATAGTCGTAACATTGTATTCCTTAATAAATGTGAATCATAGGTGATATTTATTTGTATTTTATATACATAAAACCTCTCTTCTAATATAAATTTTTTCCTTGGAAATAAGTGAACAATATTTGCTTGTCCTGAAACAAAAATTACAATGTGTGTTCTGGAAAATTAAAAAATGATTAATTGAATTCACAACCATTTCTCGGTTTACTAATCCACTCAGAGAAAAACCCTGACATAGAATATAGCTAGCATTCATATCTTCTTCTATATAAACACGATATTTTCTCATATCAGACAATCCATATTTTTAATCTAGTAGCTAAAATTCATCTCATTCTATTACAGCGATATTAACAGAATTAATAGCAGGATAAGGAAAATGTTTCGCGTCTGCTCTGTCACTACCTGGCTCTAGCCTAAAGCTCATATCAATTTAGTCTCACTTTCTGAAATGTCTGTCCGAACTCACTAGTGCAGGGATTAAAGGTTTCTTGGTTCAGTAGAGGGTTATTTCAGGAAGATTTAGTGTGCCTTTTCTATTTACATATATATTTGTATGTATGTATATATGTTTATGTATACAAGTATATACATGTACATGGTTCAGCGTAGGGCGCCTCCAGGAAGATTTAGTGTGCCTTTTCTATTTATGTATATATTTGTCTATATATGTCTTTATGTATACATATATATACATGTATTATGGTATCACAATGTACTTGTTTCTCCGGCCTAAGTGATGTAATCTCATTTACATAAAATGAGGTGCAACATATGTCAATCTAAGTAACAGAAATATTTAGTCTGTTGTAGGTCTATTGTTTTTCGAGAGCCTAACTATATCGGTATAAAGTAAAGTGGAAATAATTACTTTATATTATAAATCCCTTATTTAAAACGGTACGGAGTATCTGAAATTTTTCACCATATTACTTATGAGAATCATGGGATGGGATTAGTGAGGAGGACCGTACACAGATAATGAAAACTATAAATAGAAATTTTGATAATAAAACTATGAAAAATTCACCATATTACTTATGAGAATCAGGGTATGGGATTAGGAAGGAGAACCGTACCCAGATAATAAAAACTATAAATAGAAATTTTGATAATAAAACTATGAAAAAAATTATAGAATAGTTAGTTTTAGTTTTCCCGAAGAGTTTCCGAAGGGAATAAGTGTCGCCGAAGTGGAGTGTTTTACCTATTAATAGAGATTTGGGCACACCATTCTGACGTTGGTCGGTTTGATGATGCATAAAGCATTCTATTTCTTTATCGAACAAAAAAAAATTATTTTAGTATTGATGATCAGATGTCCCATAGACTCTTCCTTATCATAGCAAATATTTGTGTCGGATATATTTATTTTGTGTAGGTTAATCATTTGTTAAGTGCTCAACTAATAAAATAGATTTATGAAGGCTTTGAAAAGCTGTTAAAAATACTAAAATTTTTTTAATTTATATACAATTCTTTATCAACTTTTTTATTCAAAATAAAATTTCAATTACAATACATTTCTGAAAATATTTAAAAGTTCATTGATGCATTATTAATGTTTTGTTTACTCGTATTTAATCAACACAGATGGCAGGAACGATTGTCACCTATGAACTGGTTCTGCTACAGTTTGATGAACCTAACCGCTCCAAGGGTTTGGCGAAATTGTGCGCTTAGCATGCAAGAACCTCTGCAATGACAACATTCTGCAATCTAAACATGACAGCGGCAACACCCTCGACTACTCGACTACTCAACTACTCAACTACGCTGAATGCAATCTCATTAGAGATTAAAAAAGCAAAACTTCTGCCATAATTACTGGTGCTACAATTAATTTATTACTTTTTTGATTTTCACTAGTCACACAAGTTGAAGCAGAACATGTAGATTGGCTTAGATATATTTCACTGCTCACTGGCCTCATAAGTAAACAAACCGATTTTTCGTAGTCGTACAGCAAAAGTTTTACTGAAAAATATTTCGTTTTGAGTTTGCGAGTTTTTGTGCAAACTGTGAATTTGAGTTTTGCAATTAAAAAGTATTAAATTTAAATAAATTTTATAGTTAAAATCTCTACTAAATCAAGAACGAAATACACAGATTTTAAGTTGAAAATGCAGGATCAAACTTTCCACCAATGCATATCAAAGGGTAAATAATATAAATAAATTAAATTAAAAGTTTTAGATGTGTTTCAATTGAAGTGCTCACAACTTGAGTTAGTTACTTTATTAGGATGAGTAATAAAAATAACTGTTAAAGCGTTCATAAACACTTGCAGTGCTGCTCATCTCACAGATTTTTGGATTATTGCCGGTGTCCAATATTTTGGCCAAGCATGTAGAGCAGCTGCGTTACAGTTGGTTCAGTTTGGTAACAATTTATGTGACATTAATTTTCACATTGAATATGTTAGAATTCGTGACTGTTGTGAATTTGGTCTTTAAGTATGGAATTAATTTCCACACTTCGGGTAAGTTTAAGTTGAATGATGCCATAATTGCACATGTCAACAGATACTCTGAGCGAGTCTCTGAGTGAGTCTCTGAGTGACTGGCATCTGTTTTCTGTCCCTGCAAATGTGAGTAAATGCGATATTATTTATTATTTCATTTACTGCTTGAAACAGGTACAGTATCATTATTCGTTGTATGCTTATTGGAACATGTTTACTTCTGGCGTTTGGCCACAAAGTGGCCATTAATCATGAAGCTATGGCGGCAGGCGGAGGAGATCTTTCTGCGTATGCCATATCGCTTATATGCCACGTACAATATAAAGCAACGCATTTACGGTTTGACTTTTTTAGTTATGTTCAGTGCATTTGGTAAGTGTTGAACGGAAGTATTTACAGTACTACCAATGGATTATGGGCACATATTTATTGCATATGGTAAAATTATTTATATTTAAAAATTTTATTTTTCTTTTCGTCAAAGTCGAGCACTGCTTGTTGTTATATAATTCACATCATAAAAGCGATTTGGAACGCAGTCAGTGCAAGTTGAACATCAGCATTTTGGAGAGTCTCTATAGACGTGAACGTTATCATATGCAGTTTATGGTGCCTTATCGGTTATGGTTGCTACCAATTTTGGAGGTTAGTACAAATTAAACGCGGAAATATTATCTATTGGTACACAGTGATAGGTGGTGAAAACTGTTTGACACATTTTACGATAGTCAGTCATGATTGCAATATCCAATTTTGATATGCAGAAACTAAAATATTTATACGCCAATTTAAGTTAAATGAATTCAGTTGATAGATAGCAAAAAGTTTACATCATTGAATGTCTTTTTATTCACACTTTAATGGATTCATATGGTATATGGAATGCAAAACATGTTCGTTATCTTGGTACTGTAGCGAGTAAGTTACATATATAGCTTGTTTACTACAATATATAGTTTTTTACTTAGCAGAGACAAATTCAAAAAGAACTTTAACTTATTACAGACCAACTTATATGACAAATCATATGTATGACTTACAAGTTTTTTTTATGTGTTGATGATTATTTGTATGTCACAGTAGTCTATGAAGATTATACCTCTACTGATATTAATTTAACTGATTTCTGACACTAAAAAGCTGGTTAGCAAAAATGTGCTTTTTTAATTCGAAGTGAATGTAAACTTTTTTATAACAAATGAATATTATATTAAATATAATATATGTATATGAAATATTAAGAAGTAATATCATTAAAAATGGAATATGGATTTAAATGAAATTACTCTAAGTTGTAGATTACTTAGGGAAGAGAATAAAACCGTAAAAATGAGTCAAGCGGTTTGTTCAGCAATTATCTATAAATGGAAGTAATATATATATGGGTACCTTAAATCAGATGACAAAACAAAACTTCGTAAAATAATCACAAAACCAAGGTTTCAAAAAATTTGGACATGTAGAAATGTTATCAATCTATGAAAGGGCTCCAACAGATCTCAGCATCGCAATGCAAAATCCATTTACTTAATAATAATAAATACTTTTAAGTTATTTAAAAATTATGTTTTGATAAATTTTTAAATTCATTAGCAAAAATTTTGACTTGTAGAAATGTTTTCAATCGGTGAAAGGACCCACAATTGATCTCTTGATTACAATGCAAAATCCCTCTACTGAAGAATAATAAAAATAAACATTTTAAATGATTAAAAAATTATATTAAATATATTTTTTTAAAAATTTATTGCTTTAATGACTAAATATTTTTATATAATTTTTATATAATGACTAAATATTTGTTTTTTTAAACGGGCTAAAAAAAAAATTATATTTGAACCAATATTTCGATTATATTCTATAGTTATCTTTTGGGTACTAACATTGCTACATTATAAGAACATTTTATTACCCTGAAGATGATTATAGAATATAGTCGAAATATTGATTAAAATAATATTTTTTAAAAAGCAAATATGATAAACTATTTTATATCTACCAGAAAAACTTGGTTTTACACAATATATAAATTTCATTTATATCTAGTGGATTAATTTAAGCTTAGCCTATGCCCGTTCATTTACTGATGCCTTCATAATATGTGTTAGTATTGGATTAACTGCTCGTTTTCGACAAATTTACCATAGAATAAAAGCAGTGCATACCAAGGTGGATTCTATTATAATACCTATTTATATTCGTAACATATCTAATGTGTTTTCAATTTATATTGTTAAAGGCTTTACCTGAGCTGTTTTGGATAGAAGTGAGACAACACTACTTAGCGATGAAACAAGTCATGAGACTGCTTAATACGGAAATTGCTCCAATTATTGTTTTAGCTGGATGTAATAATATGTATTTCATATGTTTTCAAATATTTAATAGTACCCAGTAAGGAATACAATATATATAATTATTATCATTATATATATAAAATTTATACTATTTTATTCTGTTCATTTTGTGTTGACTTATTTAGTTTCTTAAATGTTTTATTCCAATACTATGAATTTAATTTTATATAATTTATTTCACATTTTATCTTATGTTATATACAAAGTTTTCAATATTAAATTATATTTTTCAGAAATATTGGCGTTGATTTTGTTGCTGTTTTGGCATTTGTTTATTCCCTAACATTTGCTATCGCACGTGCTGGCCTAACACTTTTTGTTGCCTCCACTGTACATGATTATAGTCGAAAAATTCTACAGGTACTACGTGACGTACCAACTAGATCCTGGTGTTTTGAGGTATTATCAATTTTTTTATTATTTTTTTTTTTGGATTATTTCATTAAAATATTTTGGCAGATGCCTAATGGCATTTCACATGTACTTTTTATATTTAATTTTTTTCTGATTAGACGCAACGCTTCAGCGAACAACTCAACATTGACTTAACTGCTTTATCTGGGAATGGCTTCTTTTTTTTGACTCGTAGGCTCATACTTGCTGTAAGTCAATATGTGATTTTCTTGAACCGAATTGTGTAATTGCCTGTGTTTGTTTTTGTGCTAATGTCATAATAAAAATTATTCTCATCCATATTATATGATGTAATTACCTTCTAGATGGTCAGCACAATTGTTACATATGAACTAATGTTAACTGGTGTCATAAACAAAGGTTCCATTAAGCAGATAACAGATTATTGCAGGGAATATGGAGTTGAAGTTATACAAACGGGAAATGAAACTATGACATGATTTTTATATATTTTTAAGGCACTTATTTGTTTTAAATAATTAAAGCACTTGTATTTTAAAATATATTTTAAAATTAATATCAAAGAGAACTATTTTTATTGTTTATAGCTAGACGATGTATAATAAACAGTTTCAAGAAACATTAGGTAATTATCAAAAGCATTTGCTATTTTTCGTTACTATGTGTTGTTGGTACCCATATACTTGACTAAGTGGATTATATCAAATGAAAATATATTTAAAAGGTGACATTTCAGGATACATGAAAATTATATTGATTTGAACTTAATATCTGAAGAAATATACCTCATATAGCTGTATTACTACAAATAAGGTAAAACTAATGCAAAAATGAGCCGAAAAGTTTATACGGTTTAAGGTGAGAATGCTATAAGTGAACTTTGATCCTTGAATTGGTTTGTGTGATGCACCTCGTTGTGATCGGTCAGTCACTGAAGATAATGGAGACACTAAGCATCAACCATACATTTCAGAATAATTTAAAAAGAGCAAGCTACGCAAATGCGCTCTATGTTTGGGTACTATATCCATTAACGCAAAGAAATTTCATTTAACGAATGATCATAAGTAAAACGCTTATGAAACGCAAAGTAAATGAATCATTTTTGAAGCGTATTGTCTTGGGCGATGAAAAATTGGCTGTTCGAGGAGCGGCTTTGCAAAGTTTTTCATCGATAATCTACAGAAGTTTTACACCAATAAAATTATGAAATTACCCAAAAAATGGTCAGAGGTTATAAATATAAATGATCAATAAAAATTTTATTAAAATAAATTTTTTAATAAAAAAAAGAGATCTTGCTCAAAAATGTACCAAAAAACGGTCCAATAGATAAATCAGTAATACATAATTTTATTCCACGTAATATCATTGGCTTTAATTTTAAATTTTAATAGTAAATTTAAAAAGACAAAGGCTCATGTATATCCGTTAAAATGCTTATAGTATGAAGGCCTTGAATAAAATTTACTTGGATTAGTTTAAGAATCATTATCAGTGCTTGATTATTATGTCACATCGAAAGCTCATGAAAAAGCAATGCTTGAAGTAGATAGAACACCTTGTGCTGATATCGGAACAAAGAACAGTAACCGGAATCTTCGTTAGTGAAGTTAGAACAACTAAGAAAAAAGCAAGACCGAGAAAGAGATGGAGTGACAATATTCGACAAGATCTAAGAAATATGAATGTCTTCAATTGAAAGATAATGATGATTAAATGATTAGTACCAAGAAAGAGATGGAGTGACTATATTCGGAAAGATCTAAGAGATATGAATGTCATCAATTGAAAGATAAAAGCCAAAAATAAAGAAGAATGAAGGAATGTCGTAAACCATGCATAGATAGTATATCTATGGATGATGATGATGATTAGTACGGAAGTTATTAATTGCTTTGTATCAGAATTTTCTAAAGAATAAAATTTACATGGATTAGTTTAAGTATCATTATTAGTACGGAAGTAGTTAATTGCTTGGTATTAGAATTTTTACAAATTATATTTAATGTAATGACGATTGATCTCTTAATTATAATGCAAAATCCCTCTACTGAAAAATAAAAAAAATGAACATTTTTAAATTATTAAAAAATCATATTAAATACTTTTTTTAATAATTATTAGAAAATAATAATTTTCTGAAGAATAAAATTTTCATTGATTAACATAGTTTAAGAATCGTTATTAGTACGGAAGTAATTAATTGAGTTTTATTAGTATTTTTAGAAATTATATTTAAGATTTGGTAATAATGAAAGAACATTATTTGTATTTGTAAATATTTATAAATATAAGGAGTAATCAAAATTGTTTGAAATTTAAAATGAAAACATGCTCAAGCTCATAGTTTCGCTTGTCAAACTACATTTAAGATACTTGAAGATAGTATCTCATAAATAAT